CTTCCTCTGGGCGGCGTTGGAGTACTTGATGGCCGTCTGCACGGCGCGCACGGCGTCGTGCTTGAGGACAAAGTCCTTGACACGGCCGGTGATGATGGTGAAGAGCTCCTCGAGCAGCTGTTTCCTCTCCTCCGAGGGGACGTGGGACTTTCTCCTCAGGCGCTCCCAGATCTTCTTGGTGCGTTGGACCTCATCGCCGAGAGGCTTGGCGGCCTTGCGCTCGCGGGCCAGCTTCTTCTGGAGAGCGTGGGCCTCCTTGGAGGATTCCGCTGGTGGTCAGTTAGCATTGTGGTCTCTTGGTTTTTTTTTTCTTGTTTTTTTTTTTTTTTTGGGAACGTGGCGGGCGTACTAATGACGGGCTTTCCGACGCCAGTGATGTTGTCGGCCTTGGCCTTGCCGTCGTACTTCTTCTTCTGCAGGGGCGATTGCTCGAGTTTGGCGCCGCCGTCAGACTCGTCGTCGTCGATGCCGTCAAAGTCGTCGCTGCTGTCGGCGGGGCTCTGGACGGGCGCAGCCTTCTTCTTCTTGGGGGCGTCCGTCTTGACCTTCTTGGCCGACTTGTCGGAGGTGGCCTTGCCCATGGGGGCAGCCTTTCGCTTGCTTCCGGTGGCGGCAGCCTTGGTCGCCATTTTGATCTCAAACAAGGAGCGGTTGAGGTGGCTTGTCGATCGGGGGCGGAGGGAGGGAGTTCTCTGAAGACCGTTGATACCGGCGGGAGGCAGTCCTTGTCCTTCCAAAACCGCTGGGAGCAGACTCAATGGGGGACCGACTGGAGACGGAGACGAGCGTCTGGGGACCAAATTTTTTGTTCAATTGCCGGGCGGTGAGCGCGGCGCTAACGATTTCTGGTCGCCCCCTCCACCTGGCGATAAGAGGCGTCTTATCAGGGTCTACATGGCCAAAGTTGTTCATGAAGAAGACTGGTCCTGTTGGGGTTACGTTTCGATGTGGACTTGTCTCGAGGCAGGCGTCCGATGGGCCCTTTGCCTGGCGTTCTCCATGCGATCGCCCAAAGGAACGTGGATGCAAAGTGGCGTCTGCTGTCTTCAGGTTCGCCACGGGCCTGCGATGTTGTGTAGTGGTTCTCCATGGTCATCAATAAAGGTAGTGGAAAGCCTCGAGGGGCAGGATGCAGCTTCGTGTAGAAATACACAGTGTCGTGATTAAAGGGCATGATGGAATGAACATTGCATTTGTTGGTCTCTGCATTGACAATACATCGTCAAGATATCATTTCCCACTATGGACCAATTTGGAGAGAGGCAGCCGACTTTTTTCATCACCAAGTGTGGTCACTTATTGCGGCGGTCGTCCCTGCCCTGTGCAAAACAGGCATGACAAGGCCTGCCCCTACACTGATGCCGCCCAGAATAAGAGCTATGACAGAGATGACATTGGACAGACCGACTCGTCGTTTGCGATGATAGAAAATGATCCAATGCATGTTGATTCGGTCTCTCGGAGTCGGCATAATCATTCGATTGAGCGAGCAAGTCATGTGAAATCAAAGGTGCTGAGCTGACCGACACATTATGACGGACCCAAAGAGGGGCTCACCCTGTGTGCGATCATCAGCACCCGACCACGACCGACTCCAGCGAGGAGCAACGACTTCGAACCCAGCAGACTCAATCACCCCCCCCCTCCATCCGCACCCTCCCACCCCCAGCTGCGGCTCGTTCCCAGACCTCCAGCACGGCGTCAAAGCACCCGGCCCAATCATCACCATGGGCCGCGAAGAACAGGTCGAGGAGCGCGAGGTGCTCGAGTCCATCTTTCCCGAAGAAATCACAGGTCAGCTACCCCGCCATGACGACCCATCGCCTGCCTGCCCTCTCTTCTCGGGCCACAACATGACATGCGACGCCGCTGCTGCTGCTGCTCCTCCAGGGGGCGGCTACGCAGCTGGCGCAAGGCCACGCAAAAGCTACACGTGCTGACCTCCCCCCCTTTCTTGTCTGACAGACATCTCCGAGACGGAATTCAGGATAAAGGTCGTCCTCGACGTCGTCGGCGAGGAGGACGCCCCCGAACCCCCGACCATGCTCCTCCACGTCCGCTACCCCGAAGCCTACCCGGACGAGGCCCCCTTTCTCGACCTCAACCCGGAGCAGCAGGCCGGCGCGCCGCACCCGCACTTCTCCGTCGCCGACGACAAGGCGGCGCTGCTGGCGTCGCTCGGCGAGACGGTCGAGGAGAACCTCGGCGTCGCCATGGTCTTCTCGCTGTACGCCACGCTCAAGGACGCCGCCGAGCAGCTCATCACCGACCGTAAGGCCGCCGTCGAGCGCCGCCGCGAGGAGGCCGTCATGGCGGCCGAGCGCGAGGAGAACAAGAAGTTCCAGGGCACCCCCGTCACGCCCGAGACGTTTCTGCGGTGGCGCGACGATTTTCGGCGCGAGATGGAGGAGGCGCGCCTGCAGCAGGAGGAGGAGAGGCTGGCCGAGCTGAAAAAGGCAAAGGTCAAGGAGCCCGTCAAGATGACGGGCCGGCAGCTCTGGGAGGGCGGCCACGTCGGCAAGGTGACGTATGACGAGGGCGATGACGAGGACGGCGGCCTGGCCGAGGGCGTGGAGAAGCTCAAGGTTGAGGCGGCGTAGCGAAGTATTGTGCATAAATGCAACAGAGACAAAAAAAAAAAAATCAAAGCCCCCGGCATTTTGGATACCTAGTGATGATGACGAGAATACAGAGGAAGGAAGGGGGAAAAAACGCCAGACGATTGTTTGCGTTTCAGTGATCTATTTGCGAGAGACTCTATCGTTTCGACGATGCAGCACCCACCGTCATGACCCGCTGCTGATGTATGTGTGTGTGTGTGTGCTGCATGTGTATAGTCATCTTTTGAACGCCCCGACTCCCCCTGATCATCCCAGAGACAACTCTGCACGGCCACTACTTTATATATTTTCATTTCTCCGAACGCTGGCCGACTCAGCCCGCCATCTCCTGGTCCTCCTCCTCGTCATCGCTGTCGTCCTCCCACACCTCGTCCGCCTCGTTCTCCGCGGCGGGGCCGAGCTCCTTGGTGATGGCCTCCAGCAGCTGCCTCGCGTGCTCGCCGAGCTTCTCGTCCTCGTACTCCTGCTGCTCGTAAAGCTTGAGGCAGACGGTCAGCCACTGGCGCGCCGACCGCCACACGGCGCGCCAGTCGTCATCCTCGTTGGCGCCGCCGGCGGCCGCGGCCGCGGCCGCCGTCGTCGACGTCGTCGTCTTGGTGCCCTCGGCCTCGCCCTGCTTCAGCTTGTCGCCCGAGATGTACTGGCCCCAGCCGCCGAGGTACCAGGCCTCGACGCTCTCGTCATCGTCGCCGACGAGCTTCTCGAGCACCTCGATGCTCTCCTCCTCCATGTCGACCTCGAGCAGCAGCCGCGCGAGGCTGACGCGCGTCGGGAAATCGGGCACGTCCGGGTGGGTGACGGGCAGGCCGCGCCAGATGTCGAGGCTGCGGGTGAGCGCGGCGCGGGCCTCGTCGACCTTCTGCTGCGAGATGCGCACGTTGGCCACCGTCTGCCAGGCCTCGGCGAGGCCGGGCGCCACGAGCGTCGCCTCGGTGACGAGCGCCTCGCAGCGCTGCTCGGCGTCGGCCTCCCACGACAGGTCCGTCATGTACACCTCGGCGACGCCGCACAGCGTGCCGGCGAGCCGGCGCTTGCGCGCCTCGAGCAGCGCCTCCTGCTCCGGCGTCCGCCGCCCCGTCATCTCGTCGAGCGCCCGGATCTGCGCCCGCAGCGCCGCCGCGCCCCGCTCGAACCGCCGCACGCTGTCCTGGCCGCCGTCCGAGCTGAGCTGCGCCAGCCACAGAAACTTCTCCGGCCCGCCGCCGCGCGCCTCGTCCGCCGACCCGTCGTTGTCGAGGGCTACGGCCCGTGTGAACGCCGCCCGCGCGTCGTCAATCTCGCCGGCCTCGACGTAAATCTGCCCGATGAGGTTGGTGCAGAGGAGCTCGAGCTCACCACCGGGGCCTGTCGCCTGGAGAGCGGCCGTCGCCGCGCCGAGGGCGTTCTCGAGGTCTCCCTCTTCGAGCTTGGCCGACGCTGCCTCGAGCAGCACTCTGGGGTCCATCTTCTTGGCGTCGGTTGCTTGCTGTTGCTTCTTGTTCTTCTTGTTGGGTCGCGTGGGCGCCATGCTACAGGGCAGATGTGTGTGAGTCTTGCGGACGGTGGGAAGGGGCCGTGGAAGATGGGCCTTCTTGACTGACTAGGTATGTGAAATAGAACAGAAAACTCCGCCGGCTGCTGCTGCTGCTACTGCTGCGTTGGTCGCTGGTCGTGGTGGTGACGACGGCGGGCCTCTGCTGGACCTGTTGCAGAGAAAAAATCTTATCGCCCCTTATCGCGCCTTCTGTGTGTCTGGCGGGGGTTCTGCGGGGTAAGGTGAGCTTGGAAGGTACCTGTCGAGGTACATAGACCCAAGACAAGGTACCTCAGGCAAGGTACCTAGATCGCGAACTTCATCGACATGTTGACCTCCCAGTCCCCTCCTGCTAAGAACTCCCTCTACCGATCGAAAAAGTGGCATCTACATGCTAGCACGCCATGTTCATTGAGTCGTGAATTAAGTAGCTATTTGTTTCTATGGCCGTTACTGTTGCTACGTTGCTGGAATGGATCAACGTCACTCGAAAACTCTCCACACTGTCCGCGTCGCTTCGCCGTCCGCGGAATATACCAAAAGAATCAGACTGACCGCTCCGTCAGATACGTCGGCCAATCCGGCCATGCGTTTTTGTAGTGCGCCGTCGCCAGCTTGAAAGACCCATGCAGTCGGTACAGGGTCTGACCGCTGGCCACCATAGCCCTGTTGTCCCCTTTCCATAGTCTACCCCTTGGGACGCGCCTTGGGCCTCCTGTGACCCCTGACTTCTGGTGAGCCTCCTCGACGCTACTGGCCACCGTCGCCTGCCAACCGGTTGCCCTGTGTCGATTGTACTGTGGTAGATAGAAACATACAAGTAGGAAATCGTAAGTATACTTTGTCTGGCAGTTCATGTCGCCCGTTCATCTCGTGGAGCTGCGGCTCGATGCGCCCCTCTCGTCGACGAGTTCCGCCGATGCGCCCAGTAGGTCCACGTGGTGCTGCTGGTCTGGATCGATTCTGCTGATGTTGTGTTGTGGCACGTAACCGAAACTTGTCGGTCGATCGTCGGGAGATCCGCTCAAGTCGATTTGGCTGAGATCGCTAGCATCCATCGACGAGCCCGAGAGGCGTCGTCGTTGCGATTCCGTCCTTGTAAAGGGCAGTCGATTGGGAGATGTATCGACTGCTGCCCGTTGTGCCTGGCCACGAGACGGCGATGTCGGCGGGACCAGGTTAAAGGAGGGCGTGGGGGAGTGGTCGAACTCGGCCTGCGAGTGGCGTTTCGAGCTTTTCCGGGGGATGTCGGGCGTCTCAGACTCAGGGCCGACGACTCCAAGATTCCTCGGCCTCTGTCTCTGTGATGGCTGTCGGCTGGCTTGCGACGGGATTCGGCTGGGCAGGTGGAAACTGTCGCCGTAATCTAGCCCTGGCAGCGCAGGAGGCGCATCTGGTACCCTCGATCGGTCCGACACCGTCTCCTCCGAGCTTCGTCGCCCCTCGTCTCCCGTCAACAAGTCGTCTTGTGGCGCAGCAGCCTTCGTCGGTGTGTTCTTCTGATCCTTCGTCGGTGCAGCAGCAGCACGACCATCATCGTCATCATCAGAATCATCAGAATCGATGGGTCCGTTCCTCAGTACCCCCATGGCCACTGGAATTCCTTCAGGGGGAGGATTGTCACTAAACTCGCCACCGGGAGCACGCATCGAAGTTGGCATGCGTGCGCTGCGGACAACCTCGAATCCTTTGCCCTTCTCCTTTGTCTTGCCGCCGAGCATCGTCCTGAGCCAGCCGGCTGCAGAGGCCATGGGACCAGTCGGGTCCGCAGGCCCCGTACCGAGTCTGCGACCTGGAGCCTCCGAGTTCAGCGCTGGACCGCGAACGCCGTAGTAGAAATCGACTTCTCGTGTTGCATAGTCCGCACGTGGGAGCAGGCTGATGGGGACCTGAGTGGGGGCCGCACCAGGCTCTGCCTGATCCGCAGGCAAGGCATCCGCCAGGTCGCCGCCATCAGCTGGCTGTGGCGCAAGCTGACTATATCGTCTCGAGTCAGCAATGGAAACGCGGCGTCTGTCCGACATGATGGAGCCCGTCAGTGTGTCGCCGCGACGCCGAGGCGGCCGATAGTAGGGGTCCGAGGGGTCAGCAATCATAGCCGGCTGAGGGCGGGTGGCTCCGCCGGGCGAGGGTAGGAAGGAAAAAGTGCTGGCCTCGCCAGGAGTCGTCGGCGTGAAGTTGCTGCCGCTATCAAAGTTGCGAGGCGGCGCCGAGTACGTGTCGATGCTGTCAAGAACCGAAGAGCTTCTCTGTTGGCTCCTCAGGAGGAACGCGCTCCCCTGGGATTCACTTCGCACTCTCCCTGCGGGCATGTAGCCCGCTTTGGACACTTCGTCGGCATCGAGCATGGCGGTGCTCGAAAGCGTGCTTTGGCGAGACGGCCCGTTGCGACGAGCCATTGTACGTCGCTGCAGTTGGCGCATGCCGAAGATCTTGGCTAGTCCACCTCTGGCCAGGCCACTCTCGCCACCGGCGCCAAGCAGACCGGCGATGACTTCGACGCACGTCTGAAGGGCATTCAAGAAGAACCCGAGAACAATGATGCCGGCGTGAATAATCAAAATGACGTAGCCGATCCAACCCTTGGGGCCTTCTGTGACTCCGAGCTCAGGGATGAAGGGAACCATGAGCATGACGGTGATGAACCTCACGACGGAGAACATGGTATGGTAGGCGTTCATGAATGTTGCAGGATGGAAGGGACGAAATGCGTGTAGCGTCAAGACTTGCACCACCTCACAGATGGCGAGCAAGACAATCTGAGCGATGCCAAACGGCTGCACCGCACCAATCGCGATGCCTCGGAAAAAGGTCAGCATGACGGGAACCAAGGCAAACGTTGCCGACTCGTCCGAATACGTGTTGTAGAGTGGCCCGTAGAGGAGCACGGTTGGGAGATCGTCAAAGAGGACCGCCCTCGGCTTCGTAGTGATGATCAGGTAGAGCAGCCAGCAGGTGAACCCGATCAGGATGACCAACGTGATGACAGCCAAGGCGACGGCAAAGTTGGCTGATTCGCCGGCAACGACTAGCTGAAAGGTGGAGAGCGCTACAATGGGCAGCAAGAAGAAGTTGAAGACGACTCGGACAACGTTGCCTATCGAGAACGGCAAGTTTTTCGCGCGCAGGTCCTCCTCGGTCGTGCTGCTGATCAGTCGGTAGATCCAAAGAACGAAAAAGCCTATCTGGATGAGCACGAGGACGGAGGCAATGATGACCAGCAGCCAGACCATCATGCCTACCCAGATATCCTCGACATCACCCATACCGACCAGGTGCGCAAAGCGCTCCAGACCATGATGGCCTTCTGTAACGTAGATGCCGTCTTGGATAGCTGGCCAGCCGGGAGACTTGTCTACAAAACTCTCGTTGAACATCAAGGCTGACCAGCTCGCTTGGCTGACGATGGGCTGGTAGAAGCCAGGGTAACTCAGAGTGAGTGATCCGGTGAGAACGACAAACTGGATATACTGCAGGCAGTCGCCAAAGCCAGGCGTGACAAGACGGAGCAAGTCCTGATCCCGCCCAAAATTTGAGGTCCACCGCAAAACGTCAGTGGTGCCCCAGGGGCTGTACATGCTCGCCAAAACGGTAGCGAAGCCGACGAACAACAGAATGGCAAAGGGCATCCACTTGATCAAGCCGGCCAGGTGGCCGAGATCCGGGGTGATGGTCGCAGAGACACAACCAATGTCAGTAGCGGCAACGTCACCGTAAATAACGAGGAAGGTCGCGGAGAAGGATGCAAAGGCATAGGAGGAGAAGAAGTCATGGCTGATGTTGACAGAGGGCAATTCGTAATGATTTGTCCTAGGAGGCACAAGTGTCAGCGGCGGCCCGAGGCGAGCTGCAAGCACAGCATGGTGTTCGATAGTCAATAACTTACACATCAGTCTGGTTGAAGACGGGCGCCAGGGGACAGGAGGCGTTCACGAGCTTGTCGTTACAAAAGTCTTCACGAGCACCAAAGGGTTGGTATGTGAGCATCTCGACCTGCGTCTTGAGCGCCGTGACCTTGGCGTTGGGTTCGTTGGGAAGCCGGACAATCTTGCCCTCAGTCTCTGTGGGATCTCCCCAGTGGGAATCGCTCGGCGGGGGGAGGGAGACCACAGAATGGGAGCCTGTCACATTTCCCCAAATGATGACACGAAGATTGTGGTTTTCGCTCTCGGTATCAAAGCGAGCATCGGCGTACAACGGGGTCCACTGCAGAAGGCGTGGCTCGTACAATCTGTAGGAATCGGGGAGACAGTTCGAGAAAGGAATCTGGACGGCGTCGGCAGGTCGAGTTGTTAGAAGGAGGCAAGCCAGGACGAGCAGCAGCACCCGGCCAGGCAGAGCGAGCGGCGGCGGCACAACGCGGAGCCACGGACGGCTGTGCGAGATTAGAGGCATGTCGAGCGAGGGTACATGGGCTACTTCGCGAAGCGAGTGACGAGGTGGCCGACTTGGGGTTGAGGAGGTAGAGCGAGAGGATATCATGGCGAGCGATGATGGCGCAGAGGGGTGTGTCCCATAGCCCCCGCAGCCGGACGATAGCGGTGGTGTGGTTGGCAGTACCGGTGCCGATGCTGCATGGCGTGGAGGAATTCGCGATGGCATGATCCGACCGGTGGACGAGACGTGCGAGTTGTCGGCGTGGGACGTCCCCGTGGGAGGCAGAGTCGGAATCGGAAACCCTCACGAATGTTCTCTTAGGGCCTCGGCAACATGTTGATCTCGTGTGCGGCAGACAGCTCGATAGGATCAGGGGATCGTCGTGTTGCTGAAGAATGTTTGCCTGTCGGAGACGTCGTGTCTTTGATGGCGGGAGGTAAGAAGCGAATCGAGGATGGATGGTGAAGCGACGAAAAGAAACGAGAGTCAAGAGGCGCCTGTCTGCCTATGGAACCGCGTTGCACTGCAAGAATTGTCTACAGGCAAGGTCAGGTAAGGTACGGTAAGGTCAAATAGTGTAATGGTAGCGTCCAGAGGCACAACAACTCGACGCGGCAGAAGCTGATTGTGCAGGGGGGGGCGCAGGGGGCGCAAGGACGAGACGACGAATGCAGCTGGCGCTGGTGGGGTGACGAGTTGAGGTGAGGATGGGAAACGAGGAACGGTGCAATGGGAAAATGGGGCGTGGTACGCCCGGTTGGGATTTGACCCGGACGAGACCCGTTCTCCACCAGAGCTGAGCCCGCCGGCCACCAGCTAGCCAAGCCAGCCAGTCTGCCTGGTAGGTCCCCTGGTCCTGCGGCGAGGGGCCCCTACCAAGGCAAGTAGGTAGATAGATGCCTTACCTGCAAGTAGGTACCTACCTGCCTATACCCAGGTACCTTACCAGAGGGTGCCTACAGGGGGTGAGCTGGTGGTGGAAAGTCTGCGCTCTGCGCCTTCGTATCACCTCGTGCGATGCTCAGTCCTCAGGGAGGCTAAGGAGGCTGAGGTATATGCTCTAAGCCCAACACGCGCTAGCGCTGGCATCGCTGGTCTTGGTTTATCATGGACGTTGGGCGGCTTCGCACTGGCCAGTCCACACAACGCAGCACCTCCTCCATGTACCCAGGTACGCATCGCCTCCAAACGCACCCAGCGCCACGTTGACTTGAAAACCGGACTGAGGAGAAGGGATTGGTCCTGTTTGTGTGTCTTTGAACCCATCCTTTTCTAAAATTGTCCATATAGTGCATCATCGCTCGATCAATTGCCCACCCGATCCTGACCCGTCACATATACACGCTACACGTCAGTGACACTTAAGAATTGATGAACCCCTTCTGCCCTATGACCAACCTACGTAGGCCCTTCATGGAACCGGGGCCGCGGGCTGACAAGAGTCATAGCGCCAGACGTTGATGTCCATCATCATATCATCCCCCAATGAGGTACTCTTGAGACGACTCCGCCTCGCCCATCCTCGAGCAAGAATTTCGCCCGCTGGCACCTACCCTCTCCCCCCTGCCTGAATACGAGCCACCAAACGTCCGCTCCCTGTGGGGATCGACCGTGGCACCAAGATGATAATTGCCCATCTTAGTGTCGATCGGCCCCCTTCTAGTGGCCGCTATTTAGGGAAGACTCCCCATTTCGTACGCCGTGGCTGTTGAGGTTTGTTGGCCGCCACTCAGTCTTTGACGGGCGCCGCCCTTCTTACTATGTACGTCGCGCGCTCGCTAGGCAGCCATCCTCACGACCCCCTATTCCAGCATCCCACGTCAATCGCCCATGGGAAAAGTCTGGCGCTGTACGTTTCAGAGCGGAAAGCCTCCAATCACTTGACCCACACTGAGCACACAAAAAGTCCCTGGTGTCAACTGTTCAACTGCATCATCTTTCTGTCCAGGAATCTGGTTGTCTCAACGCTGTTTAGACAGCGCGTCACGAAGTCATTTTCTACAGTCCACTGAATACGTATCACACGTGCAAGCTAGTATTTCTCTACCACAGAACGGCAGCCAGCTATACGTCTTCTCTCAAGACAGACGCATACAGCTAACTAAAGATTCAGCTCTAGCTGCATCTCGGTCCCATAGGCACACTGCAGCCAGTCTGCGACCACCTCCTGAAGTCTATGCTCGGTGTACTCCTTCTCCGCGTGTGTTCTGGGCAGCCCAAACTCGATATCGCCCTGCGTGATGTATGAGTCGACAGGTTCAAAAAAGACTATGTCTTGAGCCAGAGCCTCCAAGTTGAGTGCCTTTATTTGTAGCTGCAGACTGGCCGCGTTCTCGGTCGCGGTCTCAAGGGGCAACCGATCTGATTGAAGTCTCCTTGGCGTCTTGCGACCGGACAACGCCATGGACCGTTGTCTCTTGATCCAGTACCGCCGGGGATCAACTTCCATCATGACGCTGCTCCTGGCCCTCTGTGGCAGACTTTGGCGTAACCCTGAACCACCTGAGTTATGGCGAGCAACCACATGGTTGCTCCCTTGGCAGTGATAGCTGGGTTCAGGGCCCCTCGGCAAACTCATTCGGCGAAGCGACTGCGGAACCTCCATTCCTTGTGGTCTGTTAGGTTCCTCTCTATGATGGCCCTCAAATAGCATCTCAGTTTCGCCATTGCAAGTCGTTTCACCATATTGGACTCGTTTAAAATCCCGAATGTCACGCCGGCTGTGGGTGTGTTCATGACTGAGCTCGTCGTTTTGCTTGCTCCGGCTGGTATGATGCCCCCATCTCGGCGATGCGCATCTCCGCGCCTCAGAACCCCGAGACACTTTTGGGGTGAGTTGCAACGAGTTGCTATGGCACGTTATTGCGGGCTTCCCGGAAGAAATTGTTGCCAGGGGCGTTCTCGGCAGACGATTCAGGCCAAGATGCGGTGATTTCTCAAGGCCCCCTAGCGTCAAACGCGGGCTGTCAAGATGTATTCGCTCAACGTAGCTTCGAGGGTCTCTTAGGCTTGCCTCAGGCGACCGGAGATACGAAAGCTGGTTGCGATGATTCACTTTTGAAAGTGATAAGGGCACATCGGAGTCCTGATCAGAAGGGACACATTCACGTCGGGCCTCGGCGGCATCATCAGTCTTGCTCTCGTTGGCCGATGGAACAAAAGGGTACGGATAATGGCACCGGTTCGACACAGGGTCGATCCCACTGCCCATGCCAAAGTCCCGTTGAATCAGTGGGCTCACGTATCCTTTGTCTGTAGCGAGGTTGTGTATGGCCGGCACCTCCACCCTCGTGCCGTTTCTTGTCCCTGACAAAGCCTGGAATGGGGGACCTTCGTTATTGTGAACATCATACGATGCTCGTTCTGCTGAAGAATAAGTCGCTGCGGCTTTTGCAATGGTCCAAGGTGTTCTTGGACCATTGTTCGGAAAATTTGCGCTAGAGCCTTGTGTTTGATTATCTTCATCATCCCAGGAGCTAAGTGTAAGCATGCTGTACTTTCCTTCACCGCTCAATGTGCGAGTCCTCGCTGTGTTAACCTGTGTATATCGGAGGGGAACTTGACATGCCCTGTACTTATTGGTGATCGTGCGCGAATTTTGTTCCCTGGCTGGGCTTTCGTCTTCAAAGGAGGGATCAGGTCCGGAAATGAGTGGCACAGAAGCCTTTGAATTCATGTTAAGCTGAACCAAATTCGAGTCCAAGCTCTTACCATCATCAATAATGGTAGCAGCACCAGAAAACCCCTGGGGCAGAGTACCTGGGGCATTCGGAAGTGTGCTGTCCACAGCTTGCTGGAGCCTTTCGTGATCCTCAAGATCCATCTCGTATTCGTCCGTAAGGAGGGGACTCTCAGGGGTCCGCAGGTTAACGTGGCTTGCACCAGGCCAATCCCTCGTATTCTTCTGTGACAGAACCAGCATTGGTGAGTAGCGCGAACATTCTGTTTGATTCGGCGATTTGTTGTCGCTCGAATATTCGTGAGGGGTGTACAAATCGAGACATAAATTGTTGATGAGGTCGAGGACCGTCTGCTCGCTCGTGAAAACCACTTCATCTTTGGCAGGCGAGATGTTGAGGTCGTAGATTCCTGCCGTACATTTTATATCTACGTATAGGAACATATCTCTTGTCGTGCAGTTGCTCGCCTTTTGGAAGAAATTGTTGATGATCTTGACTAACTTTTTAAAAATGCCCCTATCTCTGCCCATTGGTCGGGAATCGACAGAGACGTAGGCGCCTTTGCCAGCTATCTTTGCATGATCTGCATCAGGTTTCGGCAGCAGTGCTCGAATAATAATGCTATTGGGACCGGACTCGTCCTTTTCTCCCTTATTGGGAGGCGTGGTTGTTGACGCTGTCGAGTCCAGTAGCTCTGTCGAGATGGTCCTCTCAACGTACTGGCTGGCCAAGCTTACGCCAAACATCTGGAGTGCAGCTTCCCGCGGATTGAACCTCTCGCGGGGTGCATACGACCATGCAGACTTCTCGCCACCAAGGACCTTGAATGTTAGTTTTGTCTCTGGTCTCGCCAGGGCGTACGCCTGCAGTAGGGTCTTGATGCTGGCGATCGACTTTGGGGCTTCCTTGAAGAACACCTTTCGACGGACAGGGAAATCGCTGTATAAATTGCTCAACTCGACCGTAGTGCCCACGGGTGCCGAAACAGTTTTGGGTACTACGGAATCGCCCGAGGAGGAGCCCAATATGAAGGCGCTTGCGACCTTATCCTGTGCTGTTCTGGTGGTGATGACGACTTTGGAGATGCAGGCTGCGCTTGACAATGCGCTTCCTCGAAAGCCCAAAGTCTTGCCACCTTTGAATTGCAATTCCTCGAAAGACCGCAGCTTGCTTGTATGGCCAGGGCGGCCCACACCCTTGATATCTTCTGGTGCTATTCCGTGGCCATTGTCACGGACCTGAATTCTACCGAGGGTATTGGCAGATATGAGCACTTCGACCGCAGTGGCCCCTGCATCAAGTGCGTTATCAAGTAGTTCTTTGACAGCGGAAGAGGGAGAAACCAGAACGAGCGTGGCACATAGTTGACGGGTGGCGGCGTCGGGGAGACGGGCGATAGACATGGTGAGTGTGCCGGCAGCGCACGGCCGGCGGTAGTGATACGACTCGGATTGGCTTCTAAATGACGACTTTGACAAGACTAACACAACATCATGTCGATGGTGTTGTGCGTGGGATGAGGCAGCAAGATTTTTTTGCAAGACATGGTGATGACAACCAAGGCGAAGGTGCCTAATTCATGTATTGATGGGACCTGGAAGGAAGGAGCTCCCACGAAGCTTCCCTTTCCCAAACAAGCTCTGAACACTTGGGAGAATGGATCTAGGGTGCACCTACCCGCTCCATGTGTCGGACTCGAAGCCAAGTGCCACCTACCCTGGCGGCTTTTTCCACAGCTGACGCCATCTGCAGTTGACTCAGTACCCCGCGGCACACCAAACTGCAACGAGTCCTCGAGCTATTGCCCCGCGTCGATGCACAACACTCAATCATCGGACAGGACCCTCCACACCAATCCCATCAGTTACCAACCAAGCTCTTGATCATCTCAACCTGAGCGCTTCCCAGCTGCATCACTCTTCTCTCTACCAGTACCACCACCGCTGTCGCCTCGCCTCCCCCCCCACCACAACGCCATGTCGATCAAGGGCCCGACTCCCCAGGAGCACGAGGGCAGCGCGCTGCGCATCGGCATCGTCCACGCCCGCTGGAACGCCTCGATCATTGAGCCCCTCGTGAAGGGCGCCAAGGACAAGCTCCTCGGCTGCGGCGTCAAGGAGTCCAATATTGTCATCCAGTCTGTGCCCGGGTCCTGGGAGCTCCCCATCGCCGTGCAAAGGTGCGTGTCTTCTTTCTGTTTTGTGGTGCTGCTTTCGCTCTTGTTCTCATTCCCTCCACCCCGCTTCTCCCGGCGATGCCGCGCGCCATCGGGCTCCCACCTTCCCCCGAAGGATGCCCTCTCTCCATCGAAGAGGAAGCAAGCAAGCAAGCAGGCAGGCTGACAGGCAGCCACCAGACTCTTCGCCGCCTCCCAAGTCCAGTCCTCGACCTCGGGCGCCGGCTCGGCCGGCGACCTTCTCGCCTCCTCGACCACGGACCTGACGTCCCTCTCGGCCTCGACCGACGGCGCCTCGGGCGGGCCCTTTGACGCCATCATCGCCATTGGCGTGCTCATCAAGGGCGAGACGATGCACTTTGAGTACATTGCCGACGCCGCCGTCCACGGCCTCATGCGCGTACAGCTCGACACGGGCGTCCCCGTCATCCTCGGCATCCTCACCGTTCTCAACGACGAGCAGGCTAAGGCCCGCGCCGGCCTGACGCCGGGCGGCCACAACCACGGCGACGACTGGGGCCTCGCGGCCGTCGAGCTGGGCGTCAAGCGCAAGGCGTGGGCCTCGGGCAAGATTGAGTAGACTATACATTGTATAAGAGGATGAAGGGCGGGTCGTGGTTGGAAAGAGGTGTGTGCGTTGGAACCTGACCCGGACGAGCCGTTGCTCCCGGGCGGTCAACAACAACAACAACGACCATGATGTGAGGGTTAAATCTTGGCACCAGTTCAAAAGGATATTGCGAAAGAAGGAATAAGAAAAAAGACCATGCAAGAAAGCTCAAACCCGCCGTATGCATCGAGTTGGTGGTATCTGAACATTAGGTGAATTACTGCGTGGAAGATGCGTCTATCTATCATGACCAAATTCTTTCCCACTGACATCTCACTTCTTCGGTTTTTGTCTTCACCAGCGTCCGTCACCAGCCCAGGAGAGATCCAACAGCTTCAATCAGCCGTCAATTCCCTTTCCAATAAATCCCGATAAACGTACAGGTCCTGTGGGAGCAGATGGCGGCTGCAACAATCCAAGATTGCGCTCCTGATGAGATATTCCTTGGCCGCTTCTTGCCCGCTGACACTCTTTCCCCTCCGAAGTAAAAAGAACACCCGCAAAATAAGCAACCCGCTCCGCTATTGATATAGTACGCCGACACACCCGAGAGGAGATTCTCACGAGATGAAGGCGCCGAGTTCGCTGCCAATCGATTTCTTAGACCGCCACATGGAGCGCTTTTTCTCACGCTTGGCCTTCATGGCCTCCCAGCCCTCGTCGTCGTCATCGTCATCCTCCACCTTGCGGAGCGTGCTCGTCTTCGGCAGCGGCGGCGAGGGCGTCTTGCCCTGCAGTGCCTTCATCGTGGTCTGATCCCATCCGCTGATGGCGCCGGACATGGTTGACGTGCGGGCAGGGTTGGACTGGAAGTCGTATACGGAGCCCTGACTTTGGCCATGGGCGGGAACTTGCGGCGCATGTGAGACGGGCCTGTAGCGGCCGGGTAAGCCGATGTTGCTGCGCTCCGAGGGGGCGATCGAGGGAGCATACCCTGCGCCTTGCGCGTGGATCGACGGCGCATAGCCGCCGGCGCCAGGCTGAATCCACGAGTCGGAGCTGGGCTGCACCATGCTCATTGTTCGCATGCGGGGGTCGAGCCCCATTTGAGGCGGTTCCATCATCATCGGTGACATGCCGTCGCCCACGAAGGACTGGCGAGAGCCACCCATTTCGGAAGGCGTAGGCATGTGGCTCATGGGGCGGCCGCCGTTCGCTTGGTTGCCGGCCATCATCTGCATGAACTGCATCTGCATCTGCATGAATTGCTGCATCTGCTGGGTCATGTGGACTTGGGCCTGCTCGCCAACTGAGATTTGCTGAGGCATCTGAGGCATGCCATACATCATCTGAGGGGGGATACCTGCTAGAGGGTCAAATCCGCCTCCAGGGAATCCGTTCTGCTGGCCTCCGGCGAAGTGGTGCGCATCCACATGCGGGCTACCACGTCGCATAGCGCGGGAACGTTCTTCGCTGGCAATCACGCCAACAAGTCCTCCAGGCGGCAGAGCTCCGGGCGATTGGGGCGCCGGCGCGCCTCCCGAGAAGTTCATCGACTCGCGAGGAGGTCCATTGACAAGACCGGCACCCACAAACGGGTCCTGGGGGAGCTTTCTGGCAAAGGCGGGCAGGTGACCTCCCTTGCGGGCGGCAGAAGGATCGCCCATGCTAGAGCCTGGCCTGCCTTGTTGGGGCATCTGCATCATGGACGCACGAATATCCGGGTTCGATGCCATGTGACTCATGCGGCTGGGAGCTCTGGCTTTGCTGGGGAACCCGTGGGCAGCGAGGATGGCCAGCGGAACCTCCTCATCCTCATCCTCGTCAGAGGTCCCAGGGGTGTGTCCTGGTGGTGGAGCGAGGCTGCCCAGGTTTGGCGTACTCAGCGAGGTGCTGATGTTGGGGCGCGAAGGCAGGGGGTTGGCGGCTTCACCTGTGACCTTCATCATCTGTTGCCGGTAGACAGTCATGTGAGCCTCTTGCTTCCTGCGCTGCTTCGCGGCCTGTTTCGCCTTCTCGATATCGTCCTCGTCGTCCTCGTAATTATCCTCCTCGTCGTCCTGCTGTTCCACTGGCGACTTACTGACAGGACCTCCGCTGTTCTGTCGTTCCTTGTCTTGCCTATACCTTTCGAATTGAGCGGGCGTCATGACCTTATTACGTGGAGGGCTGGGGGCTCTCGAGACGTAGCGGCTGGCGACACGTGAAGAGTGTGCAAGGCTTCCCTCGAACATGTTGTCTTCGCCCGCCTTCTTCTCTGGTGCAGTGTTCCTCCAGCTCGAGGTGCTTTCCGGTTGTCTGTAGTTTCTCGGTTGCTGCGAAGACGGCGCAGCAAAGTTGGGACTGGTGCCAAGGAAGCGGCTGGCGGCCATGGAGTCCTTGAGCAGGTTGGCATCCTCATCCTCGATGATGTCCGACGGCCTCTTTGTCGGCGCGTAGCTGTGGGGAGAATCATGGCGAGGTACCGGCGGCGGCACTTGGTCGAAGAGGGGAGAGCCCTGATTGGAGTTGGCGTTGAGGAGATTGTCGTTTGAGTGTTGACTGCTCCAAGAGTAAGGCGAAGCCTCGACCTTGGCCGTCTTGTCAATTTGAATGGGAGCCGGCACCAAATGGCTGGCACGGTTCTGGTTCTGGGAATGATGGTTGCCGCTCTGAGCGATCTTGTGGGCATCGTCTTGTGCCATGGCTCGTAGGGTCATGGCACTGTTTCGTTTGAATTTGTTGTCGAACATCTGCCCAAAGTCGCTGCCCATGTCAAGAGAGAAGTCTTGGTCTTCGTGTATTTTGGGAGGGGTCGCTGTGCTGGAAGTGGATGAAGTCAATCCCCGGGGGCGGCCGCTCAGTCCATCGTGCTCCTGGTTCGGTGGAACGGGCAGCGGGTGATTATCGACGGAAGGGACGGGGGGCAGGTTCTTCTTCTGACCGCCGAACGAGAACGTCCGGCCTGCTCGATCGAGAAAGCCTCGTGAGCCGGACTTGGGAGGAGCTGGGCCAGCCATGTCGCCTTGTGACTTCTTAGTTGCGCCTTTCCATTCTTCGTGATGGCCTTGTTGAGCGAAGTCGGCTGAAGAGGGTGCAGTAGAAACGTTGCTATGGCGCGACGATGCGTCCGTCGAAGCTGTTTTGGTCGTATTGGAAGACCCACTGCCCCTTAAGCTGAGTCAGTCTAAAAAAGCCAGGCAATAAGAAGATCCCTGTCAGGATGGCGGACAGGGGGGGGATACGATCTGGCCGAGACACACATGCCGTCAAGGGTTTGTTCGGTGTAGTCAAATCTGGCCAGGGAGGACAGACGTCTCTGGACAAGGAATGGAATGACGCAGCGGGTATTGGAAGAGGGCCAAAAAAGAAAGCCAGCAACATACCGGTTCGATGGTTTGAGGTCAGCAAACATATTGTCCTCGACGGAGCTCTGCGACAAGTTTGGCTTCTGATAAACCGTGCTGGTCGTCGCCCGGCCCATGCCCATCCTCACACCACCGTCAAACGACTTGCCCGCTGACACGTCTGTTCTTTCGAGCACTCGGAATGACGATGGTTCGTTGGAGGCCACATCGACATTCTGGAAAACGTCTTCGGCGGCGGTGGACTTCCGCCTACCGAAACCGACGGAGAATCTAGGCATAAAGAATGTTGATGTTCCACGTCAATCCTACACGGATCAGTCGGAAACAAGAAACAAATTGCGTGGTCGAGCTGCAGAGTCGCGTGGCGAGGTGACAGATGCTCTCGATGAATGAATGTCGAGCACGGGTTACTCTGTTGGAAGAGCGACAAGCTCTCGAGGGTGGATTTCGAGGTTGAGTTAACGTTCTTGTCGTTTACCGGAGGAATCGAGAGAAGGCCAAGCGGCACTGCGTGGAAAACGAGCCCAAAGGTTAGCTCTTGTCTGGCAGGCACAGAGATGGCGGCGATGGATGACCAGGCTGGAAGGGCTGTGACACTGCGAGAAGCAAATGGGGTGTGGGCCGGTTGTGTTTGACGGGTCGGAGCGATGTCGTGGCTGGCACGATCCAGCCCAACGGATGAGACTCGTGGAACCTCCCACAAGCACATGCGGGATTGATTCGAGATGGGAGCAGAGCAACTCGGACCACACGGGGAGGGGGGTAGGGCAGGAGGGTGGTGTTTGGATGTGAGAAGAGTCATGATAAGAAGGAAACACAGCCGCCAACGTACATTACGAAGTGGTAAGTATTAAAGGATATACGAGAAGAGCGATATCAGAACCGAACAGACTTCATGAGGACTGCTATCGAGTTTGTACAGGCAGTGCGTTCGGACAGTGATCGGTCGGTCGCTCGGTAGGTCAGGGCGGCCACACAAGTAACGTGTGAAGCTGATGTGTGGTGGATGGTCTTGATGAGGGGACGAAGCCGAGACAAGACGAGCCAGGCGGGACGGATCGAACAATGAGCGAGCGTGTGCGCGGCGACGAGACGGCCAAGTAGGGGTTCAGAGCGAGCGAATGAGTCGGGTGTTGCGGTTGTTGGCAGACACGGCACGAGGGACGCAAAATGTATGCAGCGGTCCAATGATGGCTGGACACCAGAGAGCGAAACGAGAGGCTGGTGGTTCTCTTTTTTTTTCTTGTTGGAAAGGATGGGAGGTAGGCTGAGGGTCGCTCGAGGAGGAGTAGGGAGGAGGAGCAGGGGCAGCAGGAGCAGCAAGCAGCAGGCAGGCCGGTGGGCGCGGTGGCGGCGAAGGCCCCTGTAACAGACCGAATGTGTGATAGGCAGGCAGAGCTGGCTGGTAAGTAGGTACCTTCGTACCTCCAACGATACTCATGGACGGACGGTACGGTACAGGTACGAATAGGTAGGTAGCCCCAGCAAAGAATACCTAGCTATGGCATTCCCCAACGTGCCTGCTTCGTGTTCAGCTTGTGGGCAGTTGGCTTGTCCTTCCCACCTTCCACCTCGCACCTCGCATCTCACATCCCCACCCACCCCAGCACCCTCCTCTTATTATTAGATAGGTGGGGAGACCGGTCGATAGTCCACCGGCCACCAGACCCCATCCAGGTCCCGGCCAAGAAGCGCGCAAAAAGCCAAGTACTGTACAGCGTAAAGTAGTGGGCAGGTGTCCCAAGCTGGTTAATGCCTGGTTGTCCGCACCTGTTCTTCCCTGTCGAACCCGAGCCACCTCGCGTCAAGAGTCCACACCTGCTCGGCACGCGATGCCACAGCACCCTGTCGGGCTGGACACAGCGCCTAGACTGAACCTAACCCTCCTGGCCTTGGCCTTGGCCCAGCCTCCAACCCCTGGCCCCTTGGTGCTTGTACTGACCTTTCCCCTAGCCTTGGGCACCAAGACCCAAAACCGCCGCCGGGCGAGCCCAGTATTTCTCCTCGCATCTGCAAATATGGTCTGCCTGTGAAAAGCAGTTTCCGGCGGTCCGTTCACCAGCTGGCCCGCCAGCTATGCGGCCACGAACCAAAGACGCCGCCCTGCGTGTCTCGAATGGCATGATATGATGGATTGCTGCACTCGAGTTGGTGGACTGTCTATTTGTCTGTCGTCACGCCTTGTCGGTGGCGTGTCTTTGACCGACGCCTCGGGCATGAAATGCGGTCCACGCGCGGGATGAGTGGCAAGCAGTAGCACTCGGATCACGTCCAGTCTTTGACGCCATTCCGACAATCCTGGGCAGCCAGTCCTGTTTCCTTCGCGGGGCCCACCTGCAACTCGCTTTTGCTCCCTTTCGCGTTCTCTCTCCAAATCTCACATCCACCATCGTCGCCAGTACTCGACGTCGCACTGCACTGCCCACCGCACCGCATCTGACGTGGTACCGGCTTCGGAGGAATGTCGCCCTGTTCACGTCCCACTTCGGCCGCACCGATTGTGCTCGCCCCCCCGCCCCCCCCCCCCCCCCACTCCTTTCAAAGTGGACTATCGTGCAATGGGGACTGTGCTGTGTAGTGCAGATTCGTTTTGTTCTCCATCGTTCATGGCACAGTCATGCCTGCCTTCGTGTCCACTGCTGATGCGCTGGTCCTGGTGGCAGCGTTTTCGGAAAGTTTTCGAGGCAGAGGACGGAGTCCCGAAGCGACGGACGCACACAGTTCTGAGCCATGACGTGGCGTCCGAGGTATTTGGTTCGTTCTTTGGAGATGGTCATACTGGAGCAGACGGCGCTTGCTCTCAGCGACGCTGTCTGTAGCACATGTTCCGCCGCCACGGGGATGAAAGAGGGGGGCGACACATTCGGGGTGACTTACTAGTTAGTCGTTATTGGCAATGCACTTAATGCTAATCTGGCACGACGGAGATTAGACCTCGCCCAAAACTGAATATTGCCAGTGAGCCATGGCCCTTTCGTGCATTCTCCTCTGCGGGTAGATGCCGGGACTCAAGATCAATTGCCATGCTTTGGTCAGCAGCTACCATGTACTTGGTCTGACCTGGCTCGCGATGCATCCGGGTGTATTGGATGCCGCGCCATGTCGCCTCGTGCACGTCTCCTGACACGGGTGCGAGTAAGTCATCTGCGCAAAGACCCCCCATCACAGGCTGAGACGCGTGCAATGGGTTTACCAGGTCCTCAGGGGAAAGCGTAACGCGCACAGAGCGCGAAGTGCCTGCTGAACGCTACAGGCATCCGCCTTCATCATTGGCTCCTCTATTTCTCCCACGATGCGGCGGCCGCGCTTTGCGGTGCGGACGGGCGGGAAGCGGGAGAGTATGGACAATCGATGAGGTCGTCCGTGACCTTTCACGGAAGCAACATAGGTGCCGTCGATCGCACCCAGCGCGCAGTGTCCGGGGCTGCCTGCGGTGAAACAATGTTGTTGCCGCAAGTCGCCGCGGACGAGACATGTTTTTCACGAAGTACAAAGACACTCACCGACCCTTCCTTTCTACTACGGCTGCCACTGTAACGGTGGTATCGCTTGTCGAGATGTCGGCATCGCTGCTACGGTTGCTAGCTACCCTTGTAGACATGGATTACGGGTCTATAGACGGGTGATGTCAGGATCGAGCATCGGTGTAGAGCGGAATGCTGGGGCGATTGGCATTCCTCTTGTCCCCAATATAGTGGGTGATGGCACACTCGTCAGCCCTGGCAGCAGACGGGCAATCACTGCAGATCACGCACCTCGATGACAATGGATGACATCAAGACCGTCGTCTGTATCAGGGCGGTGCATGTGCTGCTGTCTGAAGCATGCTATTCAATAGTTCGAACCGGTGTTGCAATGTCGCATCCTGGCTTCGGCCATCGCCTTTCGAGGAAAGGTCGCCGTTTCCTTTTCACTCAGTCGATCGAAGGTGGCAGCCCGGCCAGCTCGATCGTACCTCTCGCTAAGCGGTTACAGGTTAGTGCAAGCGCCATCTCTTGACGAAAGTCCCCTGGATCCTGTGGAAGCTTGAACAGTGGTTCCGGCGGACGGCGCGAGAGCGGGTGCGTGTTGGGTTAGTGGACTCTTTGCTAAGCCTCGAGTTGTCTCCACCTGCATTGAGACCACAGTCACTCACGTTCCCAGGGGGCTGATCAGGCGTCTTGGTTGGTGATCAGGGACGCATGCGCTCGCAGTCAATTGAGCGATGACTGTCAATATGGATGCTGACCATGCTGGGCCGGCCCCTCATCCCCACGGCTGCTGCAGGGAACTATGGTGGACTTGTTGAAAAAGAAGAGCAGCTAAAAGCTTGGAAGTCCCGTATCTGCTGTTTGTCGTGTTTTTTTTTCGTGTTTTTTTGTTGTTTTTTTCGGTGTCAGTGACCCATGAGACCGAAAGAATCCACCCTCACATCCACACGTCCCGTGAGACGCAGAATGGTGACTACGAAATGCCCACATTGTGCGCTTTGCAGGGGGGGCAGGCAAGCGGCGCAGGCGGATCTGCCGGAAGGATGGCACCATTAGACCACAGCCGAATCTGCCAGTTGATCCTACCTACCATGCTCCGGGTAATGTCCAGTCATTTCTGGAATCCCAGCCCAGCCTCGCTGGGATGTCAAGGATCGATTGATTGTGCTATTCAACTTGCTGGGCCTCATCGTGGGTTGAGCTGCGTGGCTGGTTAGAGGGGCACTTGGTATTTTTGCTCTAGATTGCGTCGAGATTGCTTTGGTTCGGAGGAGGCGTCTGTTGCTCTTGTCTCTAGCCACGCCCGTCGCCAGGACAAAAGCCGCCATGGGCCAGGCAACAATGCATGTGGCTGCTCGGCGGATCCAGTCCCTCTGTTCCAGTCCGGACAAGCAAATAAACTCCGCTCCGTTCATCCCCAGGTCCGAAGAGCCAGGTGGGCAATCAGATAAATCATGCGAAAGTGACGGCGGGCTGAAAGGGTGGATGGGTCGGTCGGCGTCTGGCGGCTCGGTCATGACAGGTACATGATTCTGACTGTGAGTCTCGTCAGCAAGCGAGTCTGCTGTCCGATGCTCCAGGCACCTGAGCCACAAGAGAAGTGTCAGGTCAAGTCTCCCCACGGAGGCGGATCCATGTGGGTTATTGGTCCGGTGTGCGAATGAAAAGCTTGACGCGAGGAGCGACAAGTCTAGACCGATGATCCCCAACGTGTGCAACATGTGAAAGGACGAGAAATATCTTGGAACTCGGAAAATGTGGATTCCGCTGGAGGTGATGATGGATTTTGAGGGGATTGGATTGAGACATGATGAAATTTGTGGGCATGTGTTAGTCGTGCGTACTGCTATGCAGGCGGCAGGTTGGTCTTGGTCGTTGGCCGCCCACGCTAACATAACAAAGTGGATGCCACCATGGCGTTCATCCAGCGAGGGCGGACGTCGGCCCATCTAGGTAGGTAGTGCCTGGTTCCTAGCTTCTGCACCGTCGGTAGGCAGCCACTGAATGGGCCCCCACTGCCGTGTTCAAGGGCTAACCCTCGGGTGCCTCACTGGATCCAGCGCAGCATGAGCTCCCCTGAGGTACCTATCTACCTTACAGCTTGTGGCTCGCAGAACTAGTGATGGGCAATCCTGACAGGTGCCTCCGACACAGATACCTTGACGAGGCACTGAATTGATGGTTGTAAGTAGGGAGGTAGGTGTCTGAGTTCCAAGATATGCGCCTGAGACTGACCTGACCTTATCCGCGTTCAAAGTGCTCTACCCAGCCGGCGTACTTGTTTGACGTGACGTTGTATGTTCAGCACTGACGCTGCTGTCGGCTGCTCGGGTTGCCAAGTGGCTATTAGCATTATCCCCTAGTACATCCGATTCCAGGTGGCTAGCCAATCTGCGGCGGCTGACACCGACCATGACGAACGCAGGGCTATGTCAGATCGTGTCCATGTCGTCGCCGTCTATAGACGTGCACTTAGTCGCCACCGAGCCGGTCCCGGCCCATCACGCTACCTTGGCGCATGTTGCCTGCCTACCCGGTAGGGCTGTGGACTAATCAAAGATGTCGGCATTGGTCAGTTCGAACTTATGGTGCCCGTCGTTGTCATGAAGGGCTGCGGATCATATTTGTTCATACGGCATGGAAAGCTGTAGCATGGGGCGTGTTTCCCACTACGAGCAAATCCCCAGCCAGCTGACAAGCAAAGGTTGTGTTGGAGCCCCAAACCTGTCCCAGGCTTGTCAGTCCTCAAGAATGTTCACGACAGTCACGCAAGGATCTGCTGCCATGCTGTCAACAAGAGATAAGCCCAATGGCAGCCTGGTTCTCGACTTGCTTGTCACACCTCAAGAGCCCTACTCTACGTGAGATGAAGTCGTCGAAGGTTCAACTGCCAGGGGTTCAGCGAGGTTTGAGTCCGAGGCGGCTGCTCTAACTCTACAAAAGAGTCGCCCAACTCTCCAGCATTTATGGGCGTGACCTTTTTTGAAACATGTCACTTGCTTTGAGTTGATTTGCGCTGTCTATGTTGACATCATCTACTGGTCGTTAAACCAATGTTAGCCATCGTCCGACCAGAACCGAGTTGCATCGATCGTCGGGTTACTGTCAGAGCCGTGGGATGAGCAGAGTGAAGAGGTCTTACACAGGGGATACCTACAGTCAATTGTTAGGTAGGGGTTAAGATAACACCCGAATTCGGGTCCCTTGCAGCCCTGATATATGTTCTCCCATAGCCCCAAGCCTTTAAACTAGCCCCTGCCCCGTGGTTCCGCAGGCGCCTCCCGAAAATCACCGGGCATCGAAGAAGTCTTTACAAAACGTGTCGTAAGCTTGACGCAATATATCCAGACGCTTCTACGAGCCCCTTGTTTCACTACAACCTTCTACACGGGCTCATTACTCCAGCCAGACTAGGAAGATGTCATTAAAAGAACGGTGGATCAATGTTTAACTCCAAGCTTCTCGTTCGGGAAGATGTCGACTGAAACGAGGAATATTCCGGAGTCAGTATTCGCACTCATTCTGACCCATGTCTTGTCCTGTTCGACCTCTTGATATTTCTTGGACGTAATCTCGAATTTGCTAGCATCGTCGCGCTCCACGTTTCTAGACTTGGCCCATATACTCCAACAGCGGGATCTGTACTCGGCCAGTTCGCACAGCTACACAGATTTAGATTCCGCCCTAGGATCCAAGACAAGTATCAGTCAATGGTAGGTCCTTGACGACTTGATCGTAAAATCCGGCTCAAGTGCTATTACCAAGGGCTGTAGAAAAGTCGGCGTCTTAGTGTACGGTGGATTTATTGTCTCCTAATCCCCCGTCAATCCGCGGAATATTTGACTTTAAGTCTGACCTAGGCCACCTAGAGAAGTCAAGTCAGGATGTTTGACTCGTTAACCACACATTCTGCGGTCTCATCCAATCAAATGAATAGACAATCAACGGCTAGCTGAAGGTGAAACCCCCGTCTTGTAGCCACCTGTACAATGTACAAATGGAAACCCTATCGTCTTTTTGGAAAGATGCTCTTCATGAACCGCACACAATGAACCTTCGATAAAGCGCTCTTCCGCTTCAGCTTTATTGCCTGGCCTCGGAGCGAATCATGGGACGGGCGTTTCTCCGTATTCAATTTCGAACAGGGGAGCCTCCGACTTCTCTCCTCAGTAACTGTCAATTGACCTATAGGTTCCAAATATTGCATTTATTTATTTATCATTGCGGTTCTCTGCTCTCGGTCAATTTTCTGACGCCATATAAAAGAATCTGGGCGCGACTAGAACAATTAGGTTTCTGTTCTCGCCATCTATCTCGTTGTGCCCGACCTTGCATCGATAGCATGGCTAGAGGCAAACTCTTCCTGAAATCACAATGCGGAATCATGAAATAGTGAATCCATACAATAAAAGAGGGTGACACCTCGAGGGTAGTGCCAACTGCTCAAGATACCTAGTCTTACCCCGGCCGATTGTTGGATGCAGGAGCTCATCAGGGAGGTGAACAACAGTGCGACAGAGCATCAGTATCAATTAATGATGTGACATCTTCTCCCTAGATGACGAATTACAGGCAGGCTTTTAGCACGCAGTGCAAACGAAGCTGAGAGTACTAGATACCTTGCTCGGCGGGAGCAAGTAGGTATTATCAATCAGTTTGATCACCGTGTGTCCGTGCAAAGAAACGGACATCTACCTCTGTCCAGGACTGATGTCATCACATAGCTCCTTATACGAAAGAAGCATTGCAGCAAGATGGACTTCAATCAAGGAAACAGAGATCACAGCCTGCTTGACACCGCCTCAAAGACGCCCTCACCTCGACATTTGCAATTGCGTCCAGGGCGTGAGCGGTCAGAAACATTTTGGCAGGCAAAGTTTCTAGACTGACAAACAATGACGACAGCACCTCAATCAACTCGACCAGTTCGTCAGGATGAGGTAGTGCCCCTCTGGAGCGTGTTGTTAAACGCTGTCGTACAAGGTGTCACCCCTCCTCGAAGTAGTAGCAAGCCAACGAGCGCACCATGAGGTAGTACGCAAGCTACCCCGCGTATCTCCACAAAGCACCACCACACCTCCAGCTCTCCAGTCACCTCGGCCAAGTCGAACATCTGTCACCCGCGCCCTGAAATGATATACACCCGACAAGGAACCCTTTGGTTTTCTAACCCCTTTTCACCAGGCCGTTACGTAGAATAGCCGCAATCGCCTTGTTCTTGTGTCTCTCAGCCGTCTAGTCTTACTACCCCTTGCTCCTAAGTAGATATCTTATCTAGCTACACCCCGCATCACAGGTCGTCCCCTTCACGCCTCGGCACGCTCGTCATGGCGTCCTCAACACCGATCACTCTGCCGAACGGCCGCGAGTACGAGCAACCTACAGGCCTTTTCATCGACAACCAGTTTGTTCCAGCCTCTGGCGATGAATTCGCCATTACCAACCCTGTGTAGGTCGCTTATCTTTGGTCACGCGGCGTCTGGCTGCTCACATGACCTTCAGAACCGAAGAAGAAGCGCTCAGATTGAAGGGTGCCTCAGTGGAAGACGTTGACAAGGCTGTCGCCGCGGCACGCAGAGCCTTCAATGGCGAATGGTCCGACCTAGCCGCCGTCGACAGGGGCGCGTTCTTATATAGACTCGCCGAGCTCATCGACCGCGACCGAGAGCTGATTGCCGCCATTGACGCCTTCGACAATGGCAAGGTACGTTGAGTCTGCTCGTTTTGCCCGCAGCCTTGCTGAGACATCCGGCCCCCACTCCGCAGCCGTACAGTGCCGCCCTGGCCGGCGACCTTGACGAGTCCTACAATGTCTTCCGATACTACGCCGGCGCCGCCGACAAGATCACGGGCCGCACCATCGAGACGGCCCCCACCAAGCTGGCCTACGTCCTGCAGGAGCCCCTCGGCGTTTGCGCCCAGATCATCCCCTGGAACTTCCCTTTCATGATGCTCGCATGGAAGGTCGCCCCGGCTCTGGCCTGCGGAAACACGGTCGTGCTGAAGCCTGCCGAGCAGACGCCCCTGTCGGCGCTTTACTTTGGCAACCTCGTCATCGAGGCTGGCCTGCCCGTTGGCGTTGTCAACATTCTGCCTGGTTTGGGGCCTGTCGCGGGCAAGGCTCTTGCCGGACACATGGATGTCGACAAGGTGGCCTTTACGGGGAGCACCAACACGGGTCGTGCCGTGATGAAGGAGGCTTCGAACAACCTGAAAAACATCACCCTCGAGTGCGGCGGCAAGAGTCCGTCCATTGTTTTTGAGGATGCTGAGCTCGACCAGGCCGTCAAGTGGTGTCACTTTGGCATCATGGACAACAAGGGCGAGGTCTGCACGTCGACGTCGAGGATCTACGTCCACGAGGCCATCTACGACGCCTTTCTCGACAAGTTCATCGAGGTCACCAAGGAAAACGCGAAGCTCGGTGACGCCTTTGACGAGCAGGTGGTGCAGGGCCCTCAGGTGTCTAAGGTGCAGTTTGACAGAGTCATATCGTACATTGAGGAGGGCAAGAAAGCCGGAGCCCGACTGCTGTACGGCGGCAGCAGGCACGCCGACAAGGGTTACTTCTTGGAGCCCACCATCTTTGCTGATGTAAGTGCCGTGACGAGGCTGGTTCATACACAACCGAGCGCATGCCTGTCTAGACATGAATTGGAGAGAGATGCTAAGCAACAGGAACAGACCACCGAGGACATGCGCATCGTCAAGGAGGAAATCTTCGGCCCCGTAGTGGTCATCTCCAAATTCAGCAACGACGCCGAGGTCATTGCCAAGGCCAATGACACGTCGTACGGCCTCGCAGCAGCTCTGTTCACCCAAAAGATCGGCCGCGCGCACAGGGTTGCGCGCAAGCTGCAGGCGGGCATGGTATGGATCAACTCGTCAGGCGATTCACACTTTGGTATCCCCTTTGGCGGATACAAGTCTTCCGGCATTGGACGAGAGCTGGGACAGTACGCGCTCGACGCGTACACGCAGAGCAAGGCCGTGCACGTCAACCTGGGTGTCGAGCTGTAGGCGCAGATTAGTATTGCTGGGGAGAGTATGACTGCTCATGTTGGGATAGGGCATGTTTGTAGGATGCTTTATGGATAAGTGTGGTAGTAGTCCAAAGCCTAGCATCTTCAAGGTAGTACCGATCCATCCAAGGTTGCAATCTCGTGTCGGTTGGCGTGCTCTGCCGAGCTGTCGCAACCCTCTAATTGATGCAGTTCGGCGCTGATGCTTTCGCTGGGGAGACGGTCCCGAACGCCGGTAGACGTGTCACGGTGCTATCCTTCTGACGTGGTTGGAAAGTGAAATGTGGAAGAATGTTCGACCTGGGACAACCACTGAGGGTGAGGGTTCGCATTGTCTTTCCAACAGAGCAGGGTCTAGACAATAAGCACAGTATTGGGCAACAGCTCCAATGTAATGGTCAAGGCAAGACTCCGAGGGTGCTGCGCAGAAGGTGACGGCTCTGGGTCTCGGATCATTTGATTTCGTAGTCCGTCGAGTTACAGGAGTGTCTTACTCCTGGACAGATGTATGGTTTCTACACACAAACCTGCCGTCATTCTCCTACGGACCCTCAGGATGGACGGGGGGCAGTTGTTGATGTAGCTGTGACAGTGGCCTTTCCGATACAACAAGAAATTGAGTAACTATCAAGCTTCAGTTTGATCTGCAGGGGTCGCTCACAGCCAAGACATTCAACCGTCCACAGGTGGTTTCCGAAACTCAAAGCGGAGTTGATAGAAAAAAAAACACCGCGCAAGGACCCTGAGGGATTGGATCCATCGACCCGAAACCACCGTGACCGGGCATTCGCGGCGTGTCTGGCAAGTCTGGGTCAGGTGGACGGGGCTTTGGAAGATCGCCGCAGCAGCCGCCAGATCAGCCATGTGATATGAGGTAGCACGACGAGCGGGGTCATTGACTTGAACTTGAGGGTGGGTTGAAGGCCTGGTGATGCACGGGATGCACGGGGGGACGACAGAAGACTGCGGTGGTAGTTACCTTGATGATACATGGCAACTGCTGTCTGTAGAGGTGCGGCAGCTGCACGACAGCTGAGTCAGGAGGGGATGGGTGGATTGGTTGGACCTGAGGCAAGCGGTGACGTGAATCAGGGGTCCAAGAAAGAGCGAGGGGAGCTGCACGTTCAGGAGCAGTGGGTGAGGTGAAGCTTCCCCTCGCAGCTCTCAGGGCCCTTTCTCCCTTGCCAGAGGCAGGCACCACCCCTCCATCGAGCTGGGCGGGGTCCCAATTGCTGCAGCCCATTCGTCGTTGGGCAGGTGGCCCCTGCAAGACCAGAACTAGACCAGATCCGAGGGAGCTCGAATCGAAAAAAACCGACAAAACCTGCCCTCCTCGTACCCAGACCCGGCTACACTCGCTCCCACACCCGTTTACCCTCTCTACGAGCTGCCCAAGCTGTCCAGAGCTGCCCCGAAACTGTCTTCCCCCAAGAGACACTAAGGCCTTGCTGTCTCCAGCCTCTGTTAAGCTTATTTTCATCAATTGCGTCAGGCACGACATATCAGATCCGACCCGAAGCCCATTCCACGCCGCTTCAGAGGCCGCCCGCCATGGGGTCCTCGCGAGCTTCATCCACCACACGCGCCGTCCACGCCGAGACAGACTCATACCCGTACCCCCTCCACACTCGTGGCAACGGCACCTTGGCCACGCTCATTCGCAACCGCTCCACTGCCAGCATCCGCGACGGTCATCCTCAGTCGCCTCGACTGCACAGAGGCTTCCACCTGCCGAGCGATGACGAGGACGACGAGTCGGACGCTTCGCGGCTGCTGCCTCACAGGAACTCGGACGATGGCGGCCGACCGCGTCGCCCGACGGCCGAGGAGCGCCGCCTGAGCCAGATGATATTCAGCCCTCAGATGAGGAGCATGCGTCTCATCGGCAACAGCAACCCCCGTTATCAATGGGATCGTTACTGGAAGACCCAGGAGCAGCTCAGGGCCATGACCAAGCCTCTGCGCGAATATTATGAGCGCAACAACGACCTCATCCGCATGTACCTCTACATCGACCAGCTCCTCGACTCCTCCGTGCCTCATGATCTTCTCAACGAGTACTCCGAGTCCCTTGATGCATCCGCCTTTCGTCCTGTCGACGTCCCGGGCACCATTTCCGAGGAGTCGCCCACGCCTCTCTCGTCTTCTCTTTCTGCAGCTGGCCAGCTCGGAGCCGACCCCTCGGGGACACCCACCACGCAGCTCGGCAGTAGTGCCGACGTGAGCACGAGCGCCGACCTCGCTTCCGCCGACAGCGCCACCAATATCAACGGCAAGAAGCTGCCGCGCCGCAACCCCAAGGACATCTTCAAGCCCACCGAGTCGACACCGCTCCTCGGCGGTATCAACGATCGCGACGAGGCCCTCTACGACGAGGAGGAGGCCCGTCCCTTTGCCGCCGACAGTGATGACTACCCCAAGCCCGAGATTCCCTGGCTCGAGGACTCCGACCTTGACAGCAGCGACCCCATCGTGACCTTGGCCATCTGGGTTAACTTCCTTGCCAATGCCATTCTTCTGCTTGGCAAAGTCGTTGTTGTCCTCTCCGTTCCCTCAGTCTCCGTCCTCGCCTCTCTTGTGGATGCCATTCTCGACTTCCTCAGTACCGCCATTGTCTGGACTACCACTCGTCTTATCGCCGCCAGCCAGAATGATCAGCACCGATACCCTGTCGGCCGCCGTCGTCTCGAGCCCATCGGCGTCCTCGTCTTCTCCATCGTCATGGTCGTCTCCTTCACCCAGGTCGCTCTCGCCGCTATCCAGAAGCTTGCCTCCCCCGACCGCACCATCATCGAGCTCGGCATTCCCGCCATCGCCATCATGGTGGGCACAGTCGTCATTAAGGGCGCCTGCTGGCTCTGGTGCCGCATGGTCAAGAACTCTTCCGTCCGTGCCCTGGCCGACGATGCCATGACCGACGTTATTTTCAACACTGGCTCCATCTTCTTTCCCATTGTTGGCTTCTACGCCAAGATTTGGTGGTTCGACGCACTCGGTGGTCTGCTTCTGTCCCTTGTCGTCATCCTCAACTGGAGTCAGACCTCCATGCACCACGTCCGCAACCTGACGGGTTTCTCTGCCACGTCCGACGAGCGGAACTTGCGTATGTCTCTTCCTGATTTCCCCTCCCAGCGGCAGTGATGCTAACGACGACAGTCCTCTACCTGACGATGCGCTTCTCCACAGCGGTCAAGCAGATCCAGAACCTCCGTGCCTACCACGCCGGTGACAAGCTGTTCGTCGAGGTCGACATTGTTCTCTCCGCCAACATGCCCCTCAAAGACAGCCACGACCTCAGCGAGGTCATCACATACTTCCTCGAGTCGGTGCCCATCGTTGACCGTGCTTTCGTGCACGTCGACTACGCCACATACAACCTCCAGACACACATCAACAAATAGTCCTCTAACATCTATCCAACCGTCTCATACTTTTGATTTCGATTTCTGGTTTCCCTAGCAAAAAGGAAGCATATGCATACCCAGGCCTTGCGGCATCACAGGACCGCCTACCGGGGTTGGTAGCGGGAAAGGTGGCGGTCAAGTCTCATTTGTTCAGCAAGCGGCGTTGTTTCATAGATGGTCCTGTACAGGCATGTGCGTACTGGGGCCACAACTTTTCAGGATAAGTCGAGGCTGCAGGCATACCATCTATATATGTATTGTAGTAAATGCAGTGTAAGCCCCACATGAACGATGTCCATCCATCTCCTCCATTAGTAGGGAATTCCGTTCGTCAGCAGCTGGAACTGGTCGTATACGCCCGTCGAGTAGCTGCCGGCGCTCTTCTTGATGAGGTCCTTCATAAACTCAGCCGCCTCCCGCTCGCTCTTCTCGAGCACGAACCGCTGCCTAAAGTGCTTGACCGTCTCGGGCTTGAAGCACGGCAGCCCGCTGTCCATCATGAGCAGGACGATCTGGCTGAGCTTCTCGCAGTACTGCCGGCTTGCGAGGAAGGACTTGACCGTCAGTTCCTCGAACCACTTGAAGGCCTGGTGGTCGGCGCCGCCCATGACGGCCATCATCTCGGTGGTCAGCTTGAAGGGGGCACGTTCAAATTTGATGCCGCCAGGCGCAATGTCAAAGCAGAAGCCGAAATCAATGTGCAGGATGTGGCCCGCGTCGTCGATCATAATGTTGCCATTGTGGCGGTCCTTGAACTGTAGGAGGAACGAGATAACTGAGTAGGCCGCCATGCTCTTGACGAAGTTGGTGCGCGCCTTTTGGTAGCGGAGCGAGTCCTCGTTGCCGTACTTGGAGATGAAGTAGTCGTACAGGCCGTTGACCGCCTCGCGGCCAAGCATGTCGCGCGACACCGAATTGGGGAGCACCTCAATGACACCGCAACCCGGCGCCGTCGCTGTGACGCGGTTGGGGAATACATAGACGTCGAGGCCCACGCTTTGGAAAATGCCTCGGAATGCGGCGATCATCTGCAGCGCGAGAACGTCCTGTCGACAATCGTCGCCGACCTTGAAAATGACCGACTGCCACACTTCAACTGTCTGGTTGTCCTGAGGTTGAGCAGCTTGCTTGCCGACCTCTTCGATCATTTCTTCGCCATCAACGGCAATGGACTTCTTTGCTTTCTTGACACGGAAAGTTGCCATGTACGGTGCCTTGGCATGGCTCTGCAGGGGTTTGCCCGACTTGCGGTCGATGCCAATAACAACGCCATCTGAGCTGATGGGCAAGTACACGCCCACGTCTACCTTGATCTTGCGAAGCTCCTCTTCGATCTTCTGCGCCTTCTCCGGCTTTGGCCGGCTGATGAATGGCTTAAGCTTGCCCGATATACTGGTCACCTCATCGAAGAAGGCAAACTCGCGCAGGTAAAAGTCGCGGTCAGCGTCACTGAAGTTGGCCACCATCTTCTCTTGAACCGTGTCTAGGGTGGGTTTGATGTCATCAGGCTGTATCATGTTAGTTCAATCTTTTGCATGCGCACAAACACAAATCTTACAATGGTGCCGCTGTCGTCCTTGTAGGCGTTTGCCTTCATATTCCAAATGATCTGATGAGCGAATAGTTGAGAGAACTTTGCAGTCTCCAGAATATACCGCTCGACGTAACCCAGAGCATCGTAGCGAAGTGCCTGTACAATCTGAGGAATGTAAAAGAAGGTAACCTCGCTCGAGTGAGACTCAAGTGCCTTCATGGCGTACTGAGTCATGTATGGGTTGCTGCGATAGGTAGGGGAAAAATAGGTGGCTGCCGTGATCGGGTTCACCGGTGCCCAGAGAAGCAGGTACTGTAATTCATGTAAGCTAGGTTTTGAAATCAGAACGAGCAAAACCAACCTTGAGCTGGAAGCTGACATCATTCGGCAGTGTACCACCCAAGAGAATAGGGAGTGCCTCAGGTTCAGACACCGCTTTGGCTGGAAAATTGAGGAGAAGCCAGCGCACTTCCTGATGCAGACGAGGAATCTGAAACCTTGACACTAGTTCAATGGCGATAGACGGATCCTCTGCCCATGCTGTTCTGACCAAAGGAATCAAAGAGTTCTAGATGTTGTCAGTGCATTTTCTTCGGCAACCAATTCATTGTCACGCTTACCTCGAGCGCCGTCTTCGGCGCAGCATGGCTCAAGGTGTGTGCTTTGTGTGGCTCAAGCGGATGAACCCAGACAGAGAGTCGGGTGTGCTCATTCTCAATAAGTAGCAACAGTAGCTGCGTCTTAGCCTTGAGGGACTTGAGGTTGCCTCCTGCCTGAGCGCCAATAGCATCGACCTGCTTCAAGGAGACGACAACGTCAGACAGCAGTCGAAGTTCAGTCTTCAGCTGGAGGATGTTGCTGCCAAAGGACCAACGCGGCGCGGCCCTGAACCAGCTCAGTCCGGCTGACAGCAACTTTTCTTTCAGACGCCCTAGGGCCACTGCCCCAATCGTTGTGCAGGCGCGGACGACCTTTAATCCGAAAAGAACAATCTGATATCTCAGCTCGCGGGCCACCGGGTGCGGTGTTGCCGTAAGAATGGCATCAAGAGTGATATCGAGAATTCGCAAGAAGATCTTCTGGACATCGGGGCTGCCAAGGCGCGTAGCGTTGAAGTGGCTGGCAAAAAATTGCATCAGGCGCATGTGCGGCGACAACAGGTTATGGACGTGGTGTCTCTGTTTGGCAATGCCTTCGAGATCGCTTGGCGCCGATTCCCCGCGCAGGAAGAAGGGGTCAGGATGACTGTAACGAGTTAGCTGGCAGACGAGCTGAGCTGTATATGTTAAGACTTACGTTACGGTTCGACTGAAGAGCCCGAGCCTTCGCTGAATGGAAAGCTCCCACTGCTGGGCAATCTCAGAAAGAAGACGGGGCTCGAGTCGGGGATTCTCGTTCATGACACCAAGCCACAGTGAGACACCGAGTTTGGTGGATTCCTTTGTAAACATAGCAAAGGGAATGCTGACCAAGTAGTGAACGACGTCAGACTCATCGCGACTGCTACGACAGAGCAAAGCGGCAGCTCGTCGAAGTATATCCCTAACCTCGGAAAGTGGAGTCGACTTCTTGCTCCGAAGCCGTGCTTCGACATGGGCAAGGGCGGTGGCCGCATTGTTGCTCTCTGAGGCGGATGACACTGAGGACTGCACAAAGGAGGCCCTACGGTTCAAGTGCATGAAGCTCACCAGTTCAGTGCCACGATCAGGGAGTGTTTCTCCGTAGCGGTACTCTTGACGCGTCGTGTATTGTGCGACAAAGTCTGAAGCCGTGTTGATGTTGCAGGCTCCCACCAAGTCCAAGGACTGCAACCTCTGGTCTGTGGAGGGAATGACGGCGGACATTTCAAGTGCAAAAGAGCGACCTAGGGAAATGTGGCCGTATGCGCCCTCGTCATTGAATTCTGACAGGTATGTCTGGAGTTGGCCCTTTACGTCCAATGGGGCAAGGCCAATGACTCCCGAAACCCAAGCCTTGGCCCTGCGGTGCAGATTGTCGAGTGTCTTACGACGGAAGTCATAGTCATCGGAGACCTCGACGGAGACGCCGCCAAGTGTCGAAGTAAAACAGGAGCGGGGGGCGTACAGGTCTGTTTCGGCCTCAAGGCAGCTGGTCCACATGAGGGAAAGGAGCTCCAACAGAGCAAAGAGTGAAGTTCGATGACAAAGCGCTGAAGGAACATCTCTGATGATACGATCAGCGTAAGTAAATGCCGCTTGCTGCACACGCTCGATCCGATGACAGCAATTGCAAAGTACCGCGGCGAGTTGTGATGCCGCAAAGGGCGCCGAAAAGCTCGAGTCTTGGCCCCCGAGGGTCTTCCGCAGATACTTTTCAAGCACCGCAGTAGCAATACCCTCCATCGTGCTGCTGACGTCCCCGCGGCGCATGCTGGGCTCCAGGAAATAAGAGAGTACCTTCGTGCAGTCGCCAGAGTCTGCTCGGAGGCTCTCCACTAGGTACGCCGACTGCAAGAAAATGACCTTCCGATAGCTAAGGCCCTTGATCTCCTGATCCTTTAAGGGCACCAAGTCACTCAGATGCTTCCTCTTCGCTGTCTCCCGCTCTGAGCTCATGCCACGGCGCAGCACAGTGTTTAGCTCAATGTCACTCTCGATCTGCTCTCCTCTCTGTTCAGCAACAAGTGGCGGAGAGTGGATGGCCATGAGTCGCAGCTCGTCCTGGTACAGGATTCCGAGGTCTGATTGAACGGTGAATCCATGGACAACAAGGTTAAACCACGCATCTCTGATCAAAGTATGGGACTCATCATCAGTAGCATTATTGAATGCGAGATCGTTTGCAGACATAATGACTGCGAGAGGTCGCAGTAGCTGCGCGATCTCCTGTGCCGCAAGTTGAAGGTCGGCATCTTTCGTTTGCGATTTGTGCACATCACCAATGGAGATGACGCTTTCCAAGAGGTGTTCCCAGTATATGTCATACAACGGCGATCCACGTCGGAGGTGGGTAGAAAGATGCACCCGAGCTTTCATGACCTTGAGTTTTTGTTAGGGAGTTGCTCAAAACATGCAGGATAAATGGTGTCACACTTACAGCATCCAGGAGGAAGCCCTTGTCGCTGGAGACTCCAAGGTGGGAGATTCTCGAGTACATTTTCAACAAAGAGCGGAACTCAAGTTGACCCCCCTTCAATGCCAGTGCCGCGGCGCCAATGATGATTTGAGCATCGACACGAGGGCTGATCTTGTCGATCTTCTGTAGGAGCATGGACTGAGCGAGAGCGGTAATCTTTTGGTCGTTGCATGCAGCCGCAATGCCGCAGACGGCTTGAACCACATTGCCCCAGACAACGGCGGTTTCTTCTTCACCAGTAATTTGAAGAGATATACTGCTTCCCATGGAATGCCGTCCCGCATAAACGGATGTTGGCCCGTCCTGGCTCAAGTCGTTCATTGTACCGTTGGCAATCGCACGATCTGAGCCGGGGCTCAAAACATTACCCAGGGTGTAGAGTGTTGTGATGACGGCATCCTGTGACAGCTTCCGAAGCACAAATGCCAAACTCTTAGACGCAATGGTGACAGTCTTCGAATCAGGCGCCGTCTGTACGATGAAGCGTGGCAGCAGACGACTGACAGTATTGGCGTAGCTCGGCGTGATTCTGCATGTAATGGCCATTGCCCGAAGCACGACCGAAGCCAAGGTTTCATCGGCCATCTGGAGCGGGTCGGCGAGTGCCTCCTCAAGCCAAGACATAACATTGTCAGAATCAGCGACGTCTTCGTTGATAAGCGAGCAATTGAGATAGCTGATCAGGGCAGCGGATTTTACAGCAAAAGCCAGCTCTTGCTCGCCCACGGATCCGAGTCTCACAAAATCGGCACTTGCTTCGAGGTAATCCATCTGGTTCAATGCCATATTCGCATAACAGTCCAGGGATCGTATATCGACATCGGCAGCACGCGAAGGCTCGGGCTGCTTGGTGCCCGACATGTGGACATCAAGGACATGCGTGCTTCTCAGTGTAGTGGCATCGGTAGTCAGAAGTGAGGTAGCAGCCACAAGAAGCCACATGAAACTCCTCTGCAGAAGCATCGCGCCAAGTGGTCGGCCAATGACAGAATAGTGGCGAAGAGTGCGCTTCCACTCCTTCGTGTGGCGATCTGGCGAGTGCGCATTGCGGATCGTGGAAAAGGCCGTTTCAGCTGCGATGAGGAACGGTTCAGACAGGAGTTCCTTTACTCTTTGGATCAAGGCTAGTCTGCCTCCAGCACGCCAGAAGTCGGCCTGAGCTGCAGCAGCTTCCAGGAAACCCAACAAAGAGATTGCAATCGTGGCCGTCTGGATGGCGTTGTCCAAAGTTGGGCCTTCGGGAGGATCCGCAGACGTAGGTACGATGTTTTCAGCAGCATGACTGCAAGAATTAATGAACGCCCAGAGACTGTCCGAGACTACCTCCTCCAGTGCATCGTAATTTGTGCCGAGAGACAGCAGGGCTGCGGTGACATGAAATGCCAAGGCCTCGGTAGGAGAGGGATCGATTTTCTTGAAGAACGGCGAGTGAACAAATGCCTGAACGTGAGCTTCGAGTATATAGGGGACAAGTTGGTTGGCCAGCTTCTGAGCACTTTGGCTGGTTTTGATTGACGGGGCGGCTTTGCAGAGGGCGAGAAGGACTTCGAATTCGCGGATTGTCTACGTCGAAATAAGCTGTGAATTCAATAAGGGAAAGGCAGAGATCCTACCATTGGCACCCGTCCAATAGCGACAGCCTGACTAGAAGAATAGCCATTAGAGCTTCTGCCATGCGGGGGGCACGCCTTGCATAATCTGTCGAGATCAGATCTGTCGAAAGAGGTAGTCGAGCTGGCGGCAGACAATGCAGCGATCTTCTGCAGTGCCTTCAGCCTGATATCGCGCGACATCTCAAGAACCAAAAACCTCTTGCGAGGACTAGGTGGACAGGCGCTGGGGTTCCGAGATGGAGACGGGGAAATGGCAATGGTACGCCCAACTTGTTTTGCTAGACTGGCAAGCTTGTGAAGCCATCGCGAGGTGACCTCCTGCAGGGTGACGACTGGTGGATTGTGTCTCCACTTTTTTATCTTAGTCATCGCAGCTTCCCCGTAGCTTCCACCTTAGCAAGGCTGCCAGCTTGACGCGTGCTCAGCTTCAACCTCACCTTTCGACGCATCTACCCAGACTTATCGAGCAAACGCTGCCAATCTCATCGCAAGCGCTTCCACACCGATCCAGTGGCTACATTCAGCACAAATAACACCTCCCGACACGCAACTGGTGGGAAACTGCACAATGGCCGCAATGTTCAGCCAAAACCCCCTGATGAATGGGCCCAACTACTCCTTCTCCGATGCCCCCAAGTCCGCGCACGGCGAGCACAGAGAGCACCGCTTCAACCCGTAAGACAGGCCCATGACTTTCTGGACTACGTCAAGCTAACACCTTTAAGATACACCGATAACGGCGGCTCTACGCTGGCCATCGCCGGAGCCGACTTCGCGATCGTGGCTGGTGACACCCGTAGCACATCCGGATACAGCATCAACTCTCGATACTCTCCCAAGGTTTACAAGATTGGCGGCACAACATCTAACCAAGATGATGCGACCATTCTCCTGTCAGTTGTTGGCTTCGCAGCCGATGGCGAGGCTCTCAAGGAGCGGCTGGATGCCATCTGCAAGATCTACCGTCACCGCCACGGCAAGGCCATGAGCGTCACGGCGTGCGCCAAGCGTCTCTCTACGATACTCTACCAGAAGCGCTTTTTTCCTTACTACGTCTACGCCATTCTCGGCGGTCTCGACGAGAAGGGCGTCGGTGCCGTCTTCTCGTACGACCCCGTGGGCAGCTACGAGAGGGAGCAGAGCAGGGCTGGCGGTGCTGCTGCCAGCCTGATCACGCCCTTCCTTGACAATCAAGTCAACTTCAAGAACCAATACGTTCCAGGCAGTGGCGTTGGACATGAGCTGAAGGAGAGGGAAGTGGTGCCCTTGGAGCGCAAGGAGGCCGAGATCTTGGTCAAGGATGCGTTTGATGGCGCAGTGGAGCGTCACATTGAGGTCGGTGACGCGCTGCAGATGATGGTCATTACCAGCAAGGGCATTGAGGAGATTCTGCTACCCCTGAAGAAGGACTAAAGGACTGGGATTTGACGACGTAGGAGACTTGGGCAGCGTTGTACAACAGCACGAGGCATGTAGTAAATCAAACGAATAAAGCCATACTGAGAAAGCTGCTCCCATCAGCAAGACCAACGAGCCTGGGGCATTCATAGTACATCGCACCCGGCCATTTGGATTTGCCGAGTATTGAAACGCAAGGCTATGCGGCACACCTCTTGACTGATAGAGGCGAACACATGGCGGTTCCTGGGGCCAACCCCAAGCACAAGCCTCAAGGTCCTACGGATGCAGCATTGTCGATCCTGGTCGAAGTCCTCGTCAAGTAGTCAGGTTGCGAATTTTCAACATTTCTTAGTCGCGTCAATAGCTGCAAGGGAGGTCGGGAAGACAGCCCTCACATCGTCAGCAGACCAACAAGTACAGGGGCATCTTTCCAGGGGTTTGCACTCGGCTGCACTCATTCCGTGCGGACCATCTGCAACCGGTAAAGGAAGCAAAGAGCATGAAAATGTACTGGTTCGATTACCCTGCATGAGGTACCCAGCCTACAAGGGCAGGCTGACAACAGCTCATTGGTCCCCATCTTGATGGGTTACCATGTTTGTCTTGTGGGAATACTCTCCTCGCAGGCTCACGGAGTCCTCCGGTCCTTGCCTCCCCCGTCAAGGGCTCTACGTGCTCTTACATCCCTTTGCGCCGTAATTACTAGGCTCCCTGTCCGAACGAATCCGAAGCCATGGCCTGCCTTCTCCTGGAGCATGCATTGGACCAGGCAGGGGCCATGAAGGGGCGTAACCAGCAGTAGCCTCAATTGAGAGCCCGGCAGTCTGGCTCGAACACATCATTGGGCTGTAGTATGCTGCATGTCATCTGCGCTCGCACTCGCCGGCTCAAAAGCCAGATTCACTTTGCCCGTCATCCACCTCTGCCCATGAAGGCCAAGCGAGCCTGCGTGTGCTGATCCATTCGTCTGCCGGCTCGTCATTAAGCATAGCTGACCAAAGTGTACGCTGGTAGTCTGTCAAAGTACCGGAAGACTCATTCGAACCGATGCCCCCAGACCAGTAAATTTGACAGCCTCACCCTTCCTGAGTCGAAACCACGCGTGTAGGCGTTGCCGGAGCTAAAATAAGATTTTCTCGCCACGTCGGTAAAGCTGCCCAGGTTCCAGGTTCCTCGAGTACTGGAAATTCGTCACCCATCGTATGTTTTGGAGAAAAACTGGAGGTAGGGTTGTCGATCTTCTTGCCGCTTCGTCGTCAGACGGCTTGATGGCCCTGTCGAGGCTGTGAGCAACCGCCACAGGCTTGTGCACCCCACCTTGAATTCCAAGACACGCTGTGGATTCCGGCCGCCACTGGACTTGGGGTCCCGTGTGGCTGTGCTGCAGCGGCACAGGGGCCGAAGAGGCGAACTGGAGCTTGAACTACCAGGTCGGGAACCACATGGTCCTAACTTGAGGCGCGAGCCAGGGATCCCGGGGCCATCAGAAACCGCTATGCTGAAGCTCATGTGTTTGTCATTGCTGACAGCCGTTATTCTCACCTGTAGAGACTCGTTCATGATGCTACCTAGCGTGGAGAGCTACTTCGCCCACTCAGGTCGAGTTCTTGATGTGCAATGTCTCATCGGCAGAGCCGCGTGTGTTTTTTGACTAGGTAGGCAGGCCTGCTGAGTTGGCAACCCTGATTCATTGTCGCGGGCCCAATGTGTTGTATTGAGGTACCGCATTATCTCTTCAAGTTTGTGTGGGCAAGCTGCCGGAGTGATTCGATCATATCACTGGCGCGCTGGACCAAGTTGCCTGCCAATAGAAATTTACACAACTGGCCACTGGCGACCGACACCCGCTGGCCCCGTCAGCTGCACAGGGGTTTTCCCATTCACCATTTCATCATTCCACGGGATTTTGGCGTGGGTCCAAACCTTTTCGTCGAACGACGGCTCCCAGAAGTATCGAAGATCAGGAGCGTAAAGGTCAATGATCGGCAGCCGCCGGCCTGGGCCCCGCGCACCAAGTGGCAAAATTGACCAGATGTGCCGAGCATTTCGCGCAATCCGCTCAGTGGTTCGCTTTCATCCGAAATCCTTGATGCCCACACGGCTTTGAAGGGGCCGCGCACGCATTCTGATCTGTACGTCGTAGGAAAAGCACCGAGAGAGCGCTCGGCTCAGGGAAGCTGCCTAAAGGCCGCCATGCCGCTCTAGTAGAGGGCAGCTTCTCCGGAATGCATCTGCCGGAGTAAATGCTCCGGCCCGAGCTGGAGAACGCCAGTGCGCTTCGGAAATTGGATCGCTCAGGGTCACTCATACGTGGGGCGTAAGACCAAAATTCCAGCCTCAGATTTCTTGCAGTACGCAGGTAGTGGAATGAACGTGGGCGCCAACGTATGGCCTCAATGTTTTCTTTTGTGGTCAGATTGCAGCTGCACGAAGTCACTTTATCAGTTCAATTTGCTCGATGAACAAGCGGGCGTCGCATGCTGAGGTGCGGTGCCTGTGTCCTTGTTGTGGCATCGTGCTAACGCCGTCGAATGGTCCGAGCCTCGGAAGATGGGGAAAGGGGACTTCGTCAACGAGAATCGAGAAAATGCCACAATCCCATGGTTGACAAACCCTCGGCCAGGCTTCAGTGCCAGTCTAGCCTCCACACCACACCCACTCACTCCCCGACTAGCCCACCTGCCCATGACCGGCACCAGCGTCAACGAGCTGGGTTTGGCAGTGGCAATATGCCTTGATCGGGATAGCAAGAAGTGTCATCCGAGCGTGTCCAGAAGCTGGTCCATGGCCGTCTAAACTCCACCCAACACAACCTTTGCCATGCAGTTCTTCGGCTCGTCGCCACGCACAGCTTAGGACACACTGGAAGCCAAGCCCCCTAATAAGGTGTGGGGAGAGGGGAGAGGGGGTGTGGCTACGAATCGAACCCTGAAGACCGTTCGCGTGCTCATCCCTGCCGATTGTTTCCCATTCAAATTCACCGATTTGGTCTCATACGGAAAGCCCTTCCATCGAAGTCACATTGGTGTAGCGTAGCTAGCCGCTGTGGTCGATAAGCAGCGACTGGCTGCAGCTCGAGCGGAGGGCCACCTTTTTGATGAGATGATTTCTTCTTCGAGTCGGTTCGATGCATCCGCGCAGCGACGGGAAGGCGCATCGTGATCGCCCAACAGGTACAGCCTGAGTCTAGGTCGCGGTCTTCCAGCATGGGGGTTCGAGCAGTACAATGGGTAAGGGAAGCGCTCGGGCGGTCAGCGGTCTGGACCACGACCGGCCTTGCTCACATGGTTCCCTTCGCCCAGCGAGAGACGTCCCTAGGAATCGAGCGACAATTATCGGACTACATCCATTACATGTGCAAGCTCCTCACCGATGAGCATCGTCGCCGACTCTTGTCCGGAGATCGCGGCATCAACCCTGGCTCCGGCCATGAGAGCCAGTTTTGTCTGAGTGAGTGGAATATGGACCAAAAGGGCTAAAGAGGGGTCATAGGCTTGGAATGGCGCGGGTGAACTCGTCTTTGCAGTGCCAAGGGTTTCTAGGAGTGCTTTGAGGGTCGTTTGTTCCACTCGCCATCGATTGAACGACGGAGATGCGCCTGGAAAACACCTAGCTAGTCTGAAGCAGAAATTATCCCAAAGCTCAATAAGATCCCAAGGCGCCGGATTGGCTTCGGCCAGGCATGCGGACGCTTTGTCCTTGCCAGAGGCTGTTACTACGGTATCCAATCTGGCTGCGCGCTTCCCAACCCCGTCATGCATTAACAAGCTCGAGGGAGAAGACCCTTGATGACAGGCGTGGCGATTGTGGGATGATGGCATACGCCGGGCGAACCATCCGGTGTTCCATAGGATTTTGACAGATAGTAACGAGCGTATGGACTGCAGATCGAGTCCCTTCCCGTTGGATAACCGACCGTTGACGTGGTGCTTCGTGGATATTTCGATGATGAAAGTATGCGTCAGGGTTGGGCGATCATGCTAGGTTGAGCTGTTCTTGCGTCCAGGTTGGTGTTGTACCCAGGCAGCGCTGGCGGAGTAAAGGATAGCCAAGGCAGGAAGAGCAAAGAGGAAACGGAAAGTGACCCGAACGGGGGCACTTGGCAAGGGCTCAGAAACTTCACTTGAGGACCTCAGCCACGTCGCCGCCACCTGAGGCCCATTGAAACAGGTGCTGGTGCTCCTGACCCCCGGCTGGCACTATATCCACGCCTTGTATTGTGAGGCACATGTGATGCGGTCACGCCCCCCCCTTCCGCTTCTTCCCATCCCCGCCCTTGTACCCCTTGCACGCCCCTCTCCCCTTCGGCTTCCCGCATCTTGAAGTACACCCACCTTCACTCATTACCACCGTGTACACGAATGACCCCTGCTTTCTCGTGTGCCGTCTCCAGACTCTGATCTAGACGCCATTACTGAATCCACTTTGGCCTCCAATGTCTCCAAATATGGTCTCCAACTTTCTCTTGCTCCATTCAATGTCGACTAGTCTCTCTCAATGGATCTCCAGACAGCACCACGGATCGGCCACCTGCGAAGACGGTATTGTCCGTGGCAGTAACTCAGACGGGGCTATGTTCGGACCTGATCAACAGTGTCTCTCTACATGTACGTACATCCTGTCGTTGCGTATCCTGTCCTCTCGCCCACCCCTGGTCCACGCACCGCGCCCAGGCCAGGCTGACAAGTTGACAGTCGACTTGAGGCTGCCGGGATCAGCACCATGACCCCGTTCTAAGTAGCAGCTCCAGTGGCAGCTCCAATCCCATTGTACGACATGGGGCATGCACATCTTTGGGACATGTGGTCTATCAGGCTAGCAGGCTAGCTCCCTGCCCCCCCCTTGGCGATGGCCGGCCCCAAGTTAACCATCGGACCCCTTGCCCTCTCTCTCACGCATCAATCAGTAGGTTGAGAAAGTCCCGGTCCTGGGCTCCGGACCCAGACACACGCGCAGGCCTAGATGCAGACCCGAGCAGAGACCTGGACACAGACACCGGAGACAGGCGAGACGGCGGGGGGGGGGGATTCCTTCCCTGTCCTCGACAACGGCAAGCCCACCAAGCCCTACAGCCGCTGGGTGTGCTTGGGTTTTGGCCACTCGCTCCACGGCACCCTGTCAACCCCATCAACCTCATCGCCTCGTCGTCCCTCGCATACATTTTTTCCCTGCTCTTTCCTCTTGCACCTGGCAAGGCTGTGTGTTCTCTCTACCGGCCCCCAGCTGCTCGGCCTCTCCAGCCCTATCCCTGTCTCCCGTCGACCAGGGCCCAGTACGCTAGAATCAACGGCGCGGGAGGCGAATCCTCTCGGTACCCGCCATCTCGTCTGCTACTTCGCGTGTCCTGCCCCGAGCGAGTTTGCTGAATCTGTGGCTCTTCTCTCAAGTCCAGCCGCCGAGTGTTCTTGCATGCTCTCGTCTGGTTTGCCAATTTGTCACCCCCGTTCACCTCTGCTCTTGGTTGTGTTCACTCCAAGTGTATATTCGACTCTGCTTGACTCTACTCTTTGTCTGATCCCTCCTCTGAATCCTCTTTCTGTTGCGCCACTATTATTTACCAACCCGCATCACCTCGCCTCGATCATCTTCCAGGTTGGGCGCATACACGTCTGACGAGCCGCGCTGTCTGTGGCCTCCCTCTGTGTTGAGCCTCACGCCTTGCGCTTGCCGAACCCCAGCCTCCCCTGTTGACATAGTTTACGGGAGACGCAAAAGACTGCTTTTCGGTACAGTGGCAATTATAGCAGGCCCCTGGACGTGATCCAATCTGCTATCATTCTGGGTTGGACATCCCGTCAAGAGATAGTTTTCGCTTGTCCCCCGCGCCTTCATCCGCCATCTCTCTCCTTGCGCCGCCCCAGATAGCTTACACCCTTGAGCATTGGGGGGTCCCAGGATCGTCTCCTCCTTTTTCGGCCACTGCCCTCTGAATTGGACACCTAAACCAAGCCAAAGCCGCTCGACCCTGGCCTGCTTCGCCTCGGACTCTTCTCTGGTTCCGTATTGGCCGCTCAGATAACCCTGATTGCTTTCAACGAATTTCGTTGACACCAGATCATACCCTACAAGTACCACCTGGCGGCAGGGCTTTTCTGACAAGCACAGCACACCCGAATCGCACACTTCAGGACGAGCCACCCACACTCAGGCACTCAAGCACGGAACGCATCCTTTCATTGATCAGCTGGGATTACCCGTGGACAGATCTTCCAGAACACCGCCCCGAGTTGCTGCCCTTCGCTTCACCAAACGCGTGCAGTTGATCGTACCAGCCTTATTGGTCCAAATACCACCATTTCTCATCTGCCACAAATAGCACCAATCTCGCTGCGGCGCCCACATATACATAGCTGTCCATCATACCATCCAGACCCGCCCACCTCCTTCCCCGGACATTCTAGGCTCGCTTCCCCAAAGCTTGGGTCGCTGCGACCTTTTGGCATATATACCATATCCCCTACTCGACTCGGTAGCAGTTTCGAGCATTTTGCAGTCTTGAATTACTAGCGAGAGCAGTAATTTCGATACACATCACACGTGTCCCGATCGGCATTTCCCTACCCTGAACTCGAACCTCTCGGGGGTTTTCACGTACCAATGGGAGATATTCCACCCCCCTCGAGCTCAGAGGATCACTTGACGCAAGAACCTCAACAGCGCGTCCACAATGTAGGTTCATCCTTTACTCTTGTATATTCGGTTGTGAGCAAAGACACTCATGGTCGATTTCTCTAGCATTCGCAACACCAGCAGCAGCAACAGCTCACTCAGGACCAGCATGCTTTCTCTTCCCAGTTTAATATGGCCCAACCATCTGGAAATGGCCGCTCCGGCGCTTACAGCATGACCAACATGGCGAATGCCCTCCCTCAGCAACCCGGCAATTTTCGACCTGTGGGCTATCCTCCCGTACCTCAGCAGCAGCGATTCAACTCTTCTACGCCATCTACAGCTATGATGACTCCACCGATGAACACTCATTACGCACCTCAGCATGTGATGCCAATGCAGAGTCAGCATTTTTATATGCCGCAGCAAACGCACCATTTCTACGGCGGACCACACTCGCCGATGCAGCAGCAGACACGACCTAACATTGCTTTCTATCCGAACCACATGGCATTGAATCAGCAGCATAGTCAAATGACACCTGCCTATTTTTACCCACAACACAACGCTAACTTTCAACATCATCAAGCTATATCCCAGTCCATACCGTCTGGCCAGCATTACGGCGGAGGTGAGATGATAAGTGAGCACAGAACACCGTCCCAGTCGCCAACCGGAGATCCTGCATTTCGTCTCCAACATGTCCATGGATCGAAAACAGGTGGTGAGTTTTTCTGCTCCCTGGGTGTCTAAGAAATCGTACTGATTTGTCAAATGCAGAATCTGGCGACGAAAATAAGGCTGGAATTGTCCGAGGTCCCCCTCGCAAGCCACGACAAAGTGGTAAGCTATTTTTTCAGTCGTCTAAAAACACTATCTGACTATCATGAGGCCATGCTATTTGGATAGGGAATCTGCCACCCCAGACGGATTTAATGAATCTTGTTCATCACGTTTGCAAAGAGGCACCAGGTCTCGAATCTCTCTTCCTCATCTCCAAGAGCAATTGCGCCTTTGCAAACTTCAAGGACGAGCAGACATGCATAGCGGCACAACAAAAACTTCACGACTCAAAGTTTCAAACCGTGAGACTCGTGAGTCGTCTGCGCAAGAACACCGTTGAAGGTACGACCGGTTTGGCGGTCCCCACTGGGCCAGCAGCATCTGCCGAGCCTCCGACACCACACACGCCTCTTTCGGAAACCATTGTAGATGGTACCGCCAAAGCAACGACAGCGGGACTTGACAGCAAGTCACCACAGGTCCACGATACGGAAGTTTCGGCGCACAAGGACAAGTTCTTCATTCTGAAGAGCTTGACTGTTGAAGATTTGGATCTGAGTGTAAGAACTGGCATATGGGCAACACAGTCTCACAACGAAGATACGCTCAGCAATGCATTCAAGGTGAGCTTTGGCGCGCGCCTCTCGCTGAGGTTTCTATCAACTACTCCGACAGAAACCTTACTAACATGGGTTTGACAGGCTGTTGACAATGTGTACCTTGTTTTCTCTGCCAACAAATCGGGAGAGTATTTTGGATATGCGAAGATGGTGTCGCCCATCAATGAAGACCCAGCCGCAGCCATTGAGTTCGCCCCGAAGGCACAGTCAGCAAACGACGTGGACGCGCCCAAATCGATTACGACCGAAGCTACGGAACATGCCCCAAAGGGCAGAATAATCGACGATTCGGCTCGTGGCACTATATTCTGGGAAGCTGGTCGAGAAGACGGAGAAAGCGCCGACGAAGAAGAAGAAAGCGACGCCAGCAGTGGGAAAGGGTTTGATGAGGTTGAGGCCAGCAACAAATCATGGGGGAAGCCATTCCGACTAGAGTGGCTCTCAACGACAAGACTGCCATTCTATCGGGCACGCGGACTGCGCAACCCTTGGAACTCGAATCGCGAAGTTAAAATTGCTAGAGATGGCACGGAACTTGAGCCTTCAGTTGGCCGCAAGTTGATTGGACTATTCAATCGAGCGCAGAGCCCGATTCCCATGGCGGACGGAATGCGACCAGGGATGGCCATGATGGCCGGGTTCGTGCCTCCCATGCGACCACCTCACTACCAATGATGAATGAACAGAAGTTGCGGACGATGTTTGGATTGGCCGCCACGGGAACGACTCTCTATGCTGGTCATAGCGCGGAAGAACATGAGGGCGAAGTGGGAGATATTCTACCCATGACCTAGACTTTCAACGATCTCGCTCTTAATGGACAAGCATACGATCATTGTATTCATTCTGGCAACTGCCACCTCAACCGGTATTGGACAACACCATCACGACGACTAGACACATCACAGTGACACATTGTGGCCAGAATACTTTATTGTACGGTCACGCACACGCGACCTGCCAACGCCTCCGGTGAACGGCGTTATTAGTTGTCAGAACCGGGCTCCTTCCGTTGAGGATGGAGTGAAGTTGGGGCTATTGTGGCACGCCCGAGTGGCTTTCTCCATGCTGTGTGGCTGGAGCCCGTCGGTCAACCCACTATCCCTGACAATCTCTTGCCTAAACTAAACACTGGACAACGCCACAAATGACGAATGATCGCCGGGCCCTGAGCCGGGACTGAGGTATGCCGAAGCCTCAACCTTGGCTCGGCGTGCTGGCGCAAGAGGGCAGAATAGCAAGGAGAACCAGTTCTATCCCTACAAACTGACTGCCAAGGGTCCAAGAAGAAATGCCCATCTCGGACAGACCGGCGAGTCACATTTGTGATGGACTGGGAGTGTTTTACTAAGAGGTCTGGCCGCATGATGTGGTGGTTTGGTGTTCGGACATCCGGAATCGTGGATGCAACTAACAATCGTCTGCCTGGCCACCCTGTTGCATGCAGATCACATCTAGGCTGCTCGCAGACGCAGATGAGGCACGTGCGGGGGGAGAAGTGTGGTGTGTGAAAGCCTGCAAGTTTGAGGCCGGGTCAAGGACTGGCTGACCATGCGAGACAGCCAGATTTGATTTGGGCAACACATTTTACGCGGTATACAAACGCCGAGGTATCTAAGCAGGCACTAGCTTAGTGTATGAATGACGGCGGGGTATGTCTGTGAAGCATAGGTCACGTACAGGCATCCTGATGCCCTGTTTGCTACATCCTTTGATTCAATTAGCTATTTGTGTTCTCTGCCACTCGGCTGTCGATCATATAAAGTACTAGGGTCAAAGTTGGGCACTCAAGGAGTGGCCTAGAGATGCCTGATTTTGGTGCACGTTGTATGTGACAAGTATAATTAGAGCAAATAGAAATATGCACGGCTCAGTAAACGAGCAGTTCGAACGGCTACTCTACAACACGACAACCTGCGGCGGGTTTCCGAGCTTGCCACTGTTCCCCTTCATGAGCCCCGCGTTCACAAGCCACGTGCCGCCCGTGTTGCCGCCGGGCCCGAGCATCAAGACCTTGAACACGACGGCGTGCAGCCCGTAGGCGGCGACCTTGAGGGCATCGATCCAGGCGCCGCTCGGCAGCAGATCCCGCACAGGTCCGCCCCTGCGCGCGACGAGCGACTCGTACGCCGCCTGCGCGCCGTCGTAGTGGGCGGCCTCGCGGCCGTGGCCAAAGTGCACGTGCCCGAAGACGTGCAGGCGCGGGCGCACACGCCACAGCTCGGCCAGCAGCGCGGGACAGCCGAGGCGCAGGTCGCGGTGGGCAAAGGGTGGCGTGTGGGTGATGAGGATGTCCGTGTCAGCGGGGACGGCGCCCTGCCAGGGCGGCGCGGCGGCATCGTACTGGAAGGCAAAGTCGGCGGGCCCGCAGCGCGGAATGTCGGGGGCGCCGTAGAGGCGCAGGCGACGGGCGCCGCGGGCGGCAAAGGTCAGCGTCAGGGCCTCGTGCTGGAGGTAGTGGACGCCCTTGAGGTCGAGGGGCGCGCGGAAGGTACGGTCGGCGAGCGAGCGCGCGTTCGGGTCAAAGTAGGCGTCGTGGTTGCCGGCGACGAGCACCTTGTGCGTGTGCGGCTGGGCCGCGAGAAAGTCAATCTGCGCCTGCAGCGCCGCCGCCGTGCCTGGGGTCGAGAGGTCGCCGGCGTGGATAAGGAGGTCGCCCTCGGGCACAGGGTCGGCGGGGAAGAGGTCGTGCGTGTCGGAGAGACAGACAACGCGAATGCCATTTTGTGTTGGCGGCGCGTACGGGCGGCCGCGGAGCATCAGCAGAAGGGCGTACAGGGCAGAGATGAGCGTCTGCAGTGGTGAGTCGAGGAAGGCATCGAGGGGCGTTTGAGGGTCGAATCTGCTGCGCCGGCGGAGGCCCAGCCTCTGGAGGATGGCCATGTGTGTCTTGTTCTCGCTGCAAGGAAGTCGTGTAGGTACAGTTTCTCGTGGATGGTATCTCGCAGATGGGGAAACCGACGAGTTGGCGCGACAGCGAGGTGATGATGGTTGAGTTGGTGTTGAGGGGCCTCAACCTGGTATGACAGGCAGGCACATGTGAAGAAGAAGTGACGAAAGAGGGCCCAAGCTCCCTGCCGAGACAGGACCCAGCCACGCTTAGCTAAGACGGCGACGTGACGCCCCGCCAAGGTGGACCTGGCAGGTGTGGCACCGCAGCAGGAGCTCAGCGCAACAGGGGATGGAAGCTACCCCCCTCCCCGCTTGCCGTCATATCATCGCCCCCACCCACCGATCCACGGCAGGGGCCATCCAGCTGAGCTTGTTTCCCGAAATGACGTTGACACGCAGCCAGAACCTGGACCCGTTTCACCAGCCAAATCTGCCAACAGACGGCAAGCTTGATACCTACCTTACCTTGCCTCACGCAACCTTGGCCAGCCAAAGCTGCCTCGTCATTAGTTTGCTGTGAGCTGCCAAGCTTCCGGTGCTTTCTTTGCTGCTGCAAAACATTGCCGGCTTCGTGCTTCGTGCTTCGCGCTCCCTGGGCTGTGCCATTCAAAAACGTCGTCTTCTCGCCTCACTCGACCTGCGTCCCGTACCCCTCTCGTCCTTGCTCTCCCTCCCTCCCTACCTTACCTAGGTACTCTGCCGCCCACCGACGAGATGGCCTCCCTCCAGAACCTCTACAGCAGCCGGAGTCTGCAACCAGGCTACGGGTCAAACTACAACGTCGACTATGTCATCCACTACCAGATCCCCCAGACCGACCGCCATGAGGCCGAGGCCGCTTACGTCCGTCTCATCGAAGCCCTCGTCAACGTCGGTCTGACCACCGAGGTGCGCCCCGGCGACGCCGACTCCCTGCTCATTTTCGTCAAGATCGCCTCCGACAAGGTCTTGAGCGACCAGATCTACCGCTCACGCCTCGGTGACTGGCTTCATGGCGCCCGCACCGTCGGCCCCGACCAGGAGCTCTCCGCCACCCTCAAGAGCGAACCCGTGACCGAGGCCGAGCGTCTGCGTCTCGTCTACCTCCTCATGACGAAGCCCCGCAACGAGGGCGGCGCCGGCATCACGCCCGGCACAGGCGCCTGGAAGCACGTCGCCGGCCTCTTTCCCTTGCACAACCACGACTTCAACCGCAAGCTCATTCAGAAGATGAGCACAAAGTACACCATTGACGACGACGACCTCGACGGCATCCGCAACACCTTTGGCGAGAACGTCGCCTTTTACTTCGCCTTCACCCAGTCCTACTTCACCTTTCTCGTCTTCCCCGCCGCCGCCGGCTTCTCTGCCTGGCTGCTGCTCGGTCAGTTCTCGTGGTTTTACGCCCTCGCGAGCTGTCTGTGGTCTGTCGTCTTTTTCGAGTTCTGGAAAAAGAAGGAAATCGATCTTGCCGTGCAGTGGGGTGTCCGCGGCGTCTCCAAAATCCAGACTCCGCGCCCGCAGTTCGAGTTTGAGCACGAGGCCGAGGACCCCGTCACGGGCGAGCCCGTCAAGGTCTACTCGCCCTTCAAGCGCCTACAGACCCAGCTCCTGCAGATTCCCTTTGCCGTCGCCTGCATTCTGGTGCTGGGCACCCTCATCGTGACCTGCAACTCGCTCGAGATCTTCATCAATGAGGTCTATAACGGCCCATTCAAGCAATATCTGGTACGTCTCTCACGTCTTTTGCATCCGCTCACGCACCAGCCTCCGCCTTCTCCCTGACCCGAAGGCTGACCCATGCCAGGCCTTCCTCCCCACCGTCATTCTCGTCGTCATGACGCCTACCTTCAGCACTGTTCTGCTGAAGTTCGCCGAGCACCTCACACAGATGGAAAACTACGAGACGATCGACGCCCATCACGCCGCCCTCGTTCAGAAGCAGTTCGTCCTGAACTTCCTCACGTCGTACATGGCCCTGTTCTTCACGGCGTTCATCTACATACCCTTTGGCAACCTGCTCCTGCCATACCTCGACTTCTGGCGCGCCGCCGCCCAAAAGATCGCGCCCAGCGACAAGTTCTCCACCCAGGAGTTCGTCATCAACCCGGCCCGCATCAGCAACCAGATGTTCTACTTCACCGTGACGGCCCAGGTCGTCAATTTCTTGACCGAGACTGTCCTCCCCTACGTCAAGCGCAAGGTCCTCGACGAGGCCAAGGAAGTTCAGGCCAAGATTTCGAGCAGCAGTGCCGGTCCCAAGGTCCCCGATGTTCCCGAGGAGGCTGACTTCCTCGCACGCGTCCGTAGCGAGGTTCTTCTGCCCACGTATAACGTGACGGATGATTACCGCGAGATGGTCATCCAGTTCGGCTACCTGTCGCTCTTCTCCGTGGCCTGGCCCCTGACAGCGTGCTGTTTCCTGATCAACAACTGGGTCGAGCTGCGGTCTGACGCCGTCAAGATTGCCATCAGCAGCAGGCGTCCCATCCCGTGGCGCGCCGACTCGATCGGCCCGTGGCTCGATGCTATTGGTTTTCTGTCGTGGCTCGGCACCCTGACCAGCGCCGGCATCGTCTCGCTGTGCAGCGGCAAGAACCCTGACGGGCCAGCCGGCGCGCGATCCGACATCAATGCTGTGGCTGTACTCCTCAGCGTCTTCCTCGCCGAACACTTTTACCTCGTCGTGCAGATGGCCGTCCGCTTCGTCATGACCAAACTCGAGAGCGCCGGCCTGCAAAAGGAGCGCAAGGAGCGGTATCTCATGAAGAAGAGGCTTCTCGAGGAGAACCTGCACCAGGCTGTTGACGAGAAGGCGGCGAACCCGGGCATCGCCAAGAGCGACAAGATCACGCGCGAGGCGCTGGAGGACGAGGCCCGCAGGGCTTCGGTCCGTGGAAGTGGCGGTTCAGACGAGATGTGAGTATATTGTACGCACCCAGGACGGGCAGTGCTGACAGGCGAACAGGTTCTGGCAGCGCCAGCGAGGCATTGACGACACGGTCCAGATCGGTCGGTCTCTGATCTCCAAGGTGGGTTCCTCGTGAGGTGGGCTGCAAGGCAAGGCAACGATGTAGTGATTGACCCGAGCAGAACGCGACAGAGGTGTCCGCGGCGAGCGGGACGGGTTTGCGTTCGAGCAAGACGACCAAGAGTGGGCAGGCGCAGGTGTTTGAGACACTGCAGAAGCAGAGAAAGGGAATGTGGTGAGCACGAACTTCTTCAAGGGGGGGGGTTCACATTTGCAAGCCGAGGTCGACGAGGATGAGACACGAATGACGCCCATTGGAGTTATGCGTAGTGTTTTCTTCTGGTTGTTTATTCATGGTATCTATTCTTGTAGTGCAGGGAAAGGACCGGAGGAGCCTGGACAGGAAACGAAAATAGTCGTGTGCTTTCTGATCTGGTACAAGTGACTACCCATCTTTGTGGAACTCATACCGAGACGCCCCGATCGGCATGTATGATGGATGCGGAGAAAGCCTTCCTGAGCAAAGCCCCAAAGGATTTTGTTGGTCGTCGTATTTTTTTTTTCCCGCGTGGATTCTTCTTTTTCTTTTCCTTCCCTACCGCTGTTCTTTCCTGCTCGTGACCCGCACGAGGCAGACTTGAGGCCGCGGAGTAAGACTGCGCATGGCGGAGACGGGCTACGGCACACAAGACTCGACGAGGAGGCGTTCGCTGCGCCCCTTGAACAGCGGGCACTACAGCGGCACCACGGCGCACAGCGAACACCAAGGCGGTTCCGTGGTTGTTTGTGGCTTGAGACGTGGGCCAATTGGCAGCGCAGGGTTGAGACCGTGACCATCCTCTCACACTGCCTCTCTCCCTGTCCTTCTCTCTCGCCAGTTGTCACTAGGTACGACTCTCCCTCTCGAGTGTGCGCCGCCCCTTTCTGTTCGCCTTGCTTTGTAGATACCCCGTTTGGAGGTGCCATGGCGGCTGCCCACCCAAAGTACCTTAAGGCAATCATGTCCTATTCAATGCCACCCGCCCTGCTAGGTAGGTACATGTGGGCACCTAGACAGGCCCCCAGCTGGCCTCGCCTTGATCCTACCCCTCGATGCACGGTGCGAGACACTCTGTCAGACCCCACATGGTTGACATTCCGCAGCCCTGGAGGGCCGCCTACCAGGGGTGCCTTCATTTGAGGTACCTGAGTCTCTTTGCTGGGTGCGTGCTTACCTAGATTCCTTGGTCCCTACCTAGGTCCCTACGAAGGTACTTACCTAGGTATCTAGTAAAGGTAGGTAAGGCAGGTACCTAACGAGGCAGCAAGGCAAGTAGGACTAAGTAGTCATTCGCCAGACGACAAGCCAGCACCCTGCTTGATTGTCAAGACTGTAGACTGTCTACCTTCGTGCTTGTACCACCTCAGCTCACCTGCTGATCGTCGTCTATCGACTTATCGACCATCGACCACCCATCATCCATCGTCCACCGATCATCCATCGTCCACCGCCCACCCCTGCCCTCGGACCCGAACGCTGTGCTCCCGCGTTCGCTGAGATGGGGCCTGATAGCCAAAAGGATCACGAGCACCCGCATATACCAGTATGTAGCCTCGTCGGTGACGGGCCGCCACCATTCTTCCCTAGTCCAGCCCCCTCCCCACCACCCCCTCCTCCAACCACGCCTTGAGTCCTTGACCA